TTCCAGCACCGTTTGCTTATGTGGGAGATGCTCAGCCCCTTGACTTCTCCTTCTGCTTCTTTGTGCAGGTTCAATATCTGGGGCAATGGCCAATGTGCCTACCTCAACCTTGATGGGGTCAGCAGCAACTTGTGCTCCCAGCAGAAGTATTCTGTCTGCAGCCATGCCCTGCAGAGCCCCAGGGGAGCATGGAGGGGAGGAGAGCCCTGAGCTCCCCCCTGCAGCATCCTCCTGCGTGCTCGAGTCACCTCTGAAGTTACACCATGAAGATGAGGAAGAGAAAGCTGCTACCACTAAACCCCCTTGCGTAGGGTTCCTGACGGTACATTGTCTAAAGAAATGTTATAATTGAAGTCTCAATTCAATCTGAATATTTATAAAAGGAATATTTATAAAAGGAATATATATAAAAGGTATAAAAGGCAAGTAAACAGCGCAGGGTGTGCGGGGGGTCTACGCTCCACCAATGTACATACGAATATCAAACAATCTAAATATATAGAACATTGCTTTTATATACTAAACCTGAGTATGCCTGTACAATCAGAAAAGGTAACAAACAATCCTTTAAGTTCCATGACTTAACAGTCTCCATTTTCCATTCCTTTTGAACAATATGTCTCTAAGTTGTCAAGCAACTCGGTCTTTGGGCCTTATGGATCCTGTTCTTCCCAAATCGAAGAGAAGCATATCCATCTCCTTTTCAAGGCCGATAGGGGCTGGGTCAAAAGGCATGTCCAGGTCAGTGGGTGGCGTAACAGCAAAAGCCTTTGATGGCTGTAGCAGCAGAGGGGCCAATGGCTCATGGCATAGACTGTGGCCCCAAATGGCTCTTTAAGGCCTCAGAGATTGCTTGCCAGGTGCAGAGCAATCACTGCAATCTTGTCATTTGTAGTTGCAGAGTCCCACACCTTGACCTCAGTTTGGCCCATAAACTGTCCGAATGTTAAGAAGGAGAATAAGCTGTAGGACTTTGTTCCTAAGGACGTATGATTCCCCATAATGCGCAACTGCTGACCAGCGAGGGGCAGTTGTGTGCACATGTCCGCTTCTCTCAGCTCGAGCTTCTCTCCAGCTCCGGTGCGCCTATTTCCAGTGACTTTCTGTACAAGCTTCTCTGAGCAGTTTGCTGAGTTAGGTCAAACCCATCTTTATTAGGTGATCAAAGTGCGTGTTCCTGTCCTGGTCTCCACTCTGCCAGACTGTTCCTCTTCACTCTTTTTTCCTGCTTCTTTATTGATGACATAACTTCATCACATCGTGTTGCCTTTTTCATCTTGAGGACAGGCTTCCCTCTTATACCCTTCTCTCCACAGCAGTTCTTTTCAAAACACCTTTTCATTGGTCAAACAACTTTGCATATAACAACAGCAAACACCCAGAAATTCCATGCCTTAATGGCTGGAGAACAAGAGACCAGCTGGAGAACAAGAATCCAGAGACTGCATGGAGTCTCCTGAATCACCCTTCTTTGTTCCCTCTAAACTCTTTTATATTCCTGATGGCCTCATCATTAAGAGTCTAATGTTATCTCAATCACGGGGTTTTCCAACCCCCATGGCCACACTCCCAAATCTCCCCCTTCTTTATTAATATCAACCATTTTCTCAACACAAATTACCACTCCACATATAACAACTCAATATATAACAGGGGCATTGAATGGCCGTGAGCTGTGGCAGGAAGCTCCAGCCCCGCCACTGGTTTGCACTTCACCAGTACAGCTCTGAGCATTTTGGTTTCCTGTCCTCTGGACCCTGTCGTGTCCCCTCCACCTTCTGCGTGTCCTTCTGCCATGGAGGATGAGGATGGCTACATGGCCTTGGACAGGCGATGCAAGCGGGGTGCTGCGGAGAGGCCGGGACCCCTCCGGGACGCAGGTAGCGGGGTCCGATCCTCCGTCCCACCATGGGTTTGTGGTGGCGAGAGCATACCCCGGGTGGCGATTGGTTGGCAGGGGGAAGAAGCGGGGTGGTGCAGCTCTTGGGGTCCCAGAGAGTCACTCAAGCTGGGGAAACTGTGAGGTGGCTTACCGGGGATGCTTGCCTTTGATAAACTCGGTATTATGGAACAAAAATGGTTTTGCACCAGAACTGGGAACAAGGGCAAGCAGAGGAAATGCCAGAGAGGTGGTTCCATCGGTCTGTGAGGGCTGGAGATGGATGAAGTGTGAGAAAAGAGAGAGAAAGGAAGCATTTTTGGGACCTCTGCTCTATGGAACCCGCTTGCACGGCAAAGTGCTTGGCAGTGCACACCCATTGTCTAGAATCATAACATTGGTCAGTGGTACACCACAGGAGGTAAATTTATGTAGTAGCACACTTCAGGGGAATAGGAGAAATGGGAAATAAGGGTCCCAGGGGAAAAGGGGATGTCCCTGGGACAGTGCATACTGAGAGTCCTTTAGGAAGAATGCTAAGGAATCGGTTGCAGCAAGGTTTGTAGCTCTGGGGGAGCATGGGAGGATGGGGAGAGCATGCAGGGCTGATGCGTGTCTTTTGAAGGCACCTGCACTTGTTTGAGGACTTCCAGATGGATTTAGAGGTGGCTGCATGGTAAAATTCAGAGTCTCTCCTCCCCCCACCCAAAAAAACTGGCCAGTGCTCATCCCACCAATGCCCCACCAGAGCCAGATCTTGCTTTCCCCCAGCATTACCCCATTTATATTGTTTTTCTTCATCTCTTGGAGGAACTTCTTCAAACAGGAAGTTCTTGTAAACAGGCTATCCAAAATAAATGTCTTGCAATTAAATTTTCTGGATGCAGATTTTTACCAAAATATGTATATATATATAATTTTTTTAAGTTTTGCAAGCTATGGTCAGGATGGAGGCAGAGCCTTTTGAAGCCTTTTTTTTTTAATTACTGGTGGTGGTGGTGGTGTGGTTTTTTTTTGACACCTTTTTTTTGATACCGTGAAGGAAGAGAAATGTAAAAGCGGGCCTGCCTCTGCTCACCACAGAAAATAGAGTACAAAACTTTCCATGAGGTCAATGAGAGCTGAAGGCAGAGTAACAACGAACAGCAAATTGGACTGGTGGTGCTTTTTCCCCAGTCCTAGGAAGTGCCAGCTGCTCCATGCAGCAGAGACTAGGTCAAGCTGGCATGAAAAAATTAAATTAAACATCAAGATAATGCATATTTATTTTGCTGCAGAAAATAAGCAAGGAAAAAAACCCTCTTTGCCTCTTCTGGTGCAAAAGTTACAGGATAAATTACTTGGCGTGGAAGAAAAAGCAACAAATTGCAATCAAAACCATCCCCTTCCAGCTTTTGGGTTACACACAACTGATGCCCAAGCCGTATTCCAGGGAAGACACACCAAATACCACCTTTCTCCTCCTTCCCCGACTATCTGCTGGTACGAATTGGCCTGACCCCCATTAATAAATACATATATTATTTAAGGGCTTTTATTTTGTCTTTTGTCACCTCTCTGCTCTCCTGGCAGCTCAGCACCGCAGTGCTTGCTGTGGTCGCTAAAGACAAAAGGTGTTTTCTGCACCTCGAGAGGTGCGACCTCCTCCTGCCTTGAGGATGTCTGCCTACCTGCCATCCTTCGACTGAAAGGGACCACCATCCCTGGAGGTCTTTAAAGAGGTTTAAAGATGTTGAGCTTAGGGATATGGTTTAGTGAAGGACTTTTTAGTTTTAGGTCAGAGGTTGGACTAGGTGATCTGGAAGGTCTCTTCCAACCTAGATGATTCTGTGAAAGGAAAGTCTGTAGCATATATCTATGAACCTATAAAAGAAAAAAAAAAAAAAAAAAAAACACAAACAAAACAAACAAAAAAAAAAACACACACACACACACACAAAAAAAAAAAAAAAAAAAAACAAAAAAAAACAAAAAAAAACACACAACAAAGAAGAAGACTAAATAAAGCCATTTCCTGGTGCTGGACGCAGGCGCAAGAAGGTTCAAGAAGGTTGGTCATAATGCAAAGGTTGCCCGGGGACGTTGTCACTCCTGGGACGCTTCTGCAGGCGGGCGAGCTGACCATGGCTGGGGAAATTATGTACGCTGATTTAAGGCAGCCCGGAGGGGGCTCTTCACCTGTTGAGAGGCGTCACAGTAAGTGCAATTTTGGGTGGTGGGCGCTCACGGTGAGCTTCATTTCCCCCAGGAAGAGCTGGCGCTTTGGTCCGCTTGCATCTTGGCCAAGAAACATGGCCAAGTGCCAGTTGGGTTGCGGTGTTGATCCCGGTTTGTGCAGGCAGTGAAAGGAAGGAAGGAAAGAAGGAAGGACGGGGGAGAAAGAAGCTTGCAAATGGCCAGAGCTTCAACGATTTCACTGCTGGGGCTGCTCTCTCTGCAGCAAAAATCAGCCCTAACGCAAGCCGTTGGAAGTCAAAGCTTGGCGAAACACGCCCAGGACCCTGGTGGAGAGGAGCTGTGGAGGGACCCGAGTCCCACCAGCTGCCACCTGTTCTAAATGAGGCCAATTTCCCAAGAGTTTGAGTCTGTCCCCCCTGCTCTTGAGGACCCCCACCGCCTCCCAGAGCACCTAGAGGTGACAGCCTCGCTTCCAAGCCCAACCTCAGCACCCAGCCTCCAACAGGAGCAAAGCCCACCACCAGGACTCCTTCCCCAGTGGAACCCACTGGTGCAACTGGGAAGCCGCAACCCAGCTGCTCCCCATCCCCTCCAAGCACCTGGAGGCTTTGCTCCAGCCAAAGCAGCACAACGGCGAGCAGTGGGACCCACGCGAGGAGGGTCCTGGGGTGGGAGATGCAGAGAGAAGGTTGTGATCGTTGGGTTTTCACTTGTTTTTGTGTGATTGTGGAGGTAGCAAAGCAGCTGTCAACTTCTGCTCAAACATAGGGGCTCTCTTTTCGTTTCTTTTCGTTTCATTTCTTTCTTTTCTTTTCTCATTATTTTATTACATTTTTATATTAATTTTATTGATTTATTTCATATTATTTCATTTTCACTTCATTGTATTTTAATTTTATTTTACAAGAAAGCATTTTCTGAACAAAACCACGGACTCTTTCAGCTCCCGCCGTGTGCCCACGGTGGCACGGAGTCTTTCTGAAGCTGAGTGGGCTGGGCTACCTGGTGCTGCTGGTGCTGGTGGCGGTGCTCAGTGTGCAGGGTAAGTAAAACCCACTCGAAAACACATCTAAAACCCAAACGATCACAAGGAAAAGTGTACTTTGTTGGTTTTTTATTTTTTTCTTTGCCAAGGGGAGGACAGGGTTTTATCCCAGGAACCATGTAGATGCCACAGGATGCATCCAACAAGAGTAAATCCCCTCTCAAAACAAACAAACAAACAAATAAAACAACAACAAAAACACAGAAAAACATACACACAAAAAAAAAGGCTTTTAAAGCAAGGGTGGTGGACACAAGCAACATTTTTATGCTTCTGCAAACGTTGGGTGCAATCATGACGAGAAAAAGAGTTTGCACAATAGATCTGGAAACCCAACTCAGCCCTGCTTGGTTTTCACGGTGAAGCACACAAACAGCCTCAATCTCACCCCAAAATTTTACCTCCAAGTTTTTCAGAAGACGCCGACACCTCCCAACACTCTGCAGAACAAGAGTGAGGCCAGGGGAAGGAACAGGACGGAGGTGTGCATGGCTCCCTCCCTGCTGCGCTACTTCTGCCGCTGGAACAGCTCTGCAGGTAACCCCTTCCCCGGAGGGGTCCCTGTGGTGGGATGGGTGTCCCCGGGGGGCTGCAAGTCCAGCTTGGTGTCAATGAGCATGGTGAGGAAGAGCTCGTTTTGCTGATCATCTCCATCCTCTGTGGGCCTCCGGGAGGAGGAGGCACCTCTCCACCTTCCCCGTGCTCACCCCACCGTGTCCTCCTTGTGGTGGATGGGTGGGAAAAGCGGGCAGGAAAAATTTGGGAGGGGAGAGAGCTCCCTCCCCAGTGCCTCTTGGCTGGTTTGAGCGAGACCTCGAGCACTTTTTGGGGTGTCTCATGGCTCCGTCTCCTCTCCAGGCCACGGGGGCTGCAAGCTGTGCCCCCAGTCTTGGCAGCTTTTGGGGGACCAGTGCTACCAGGTTTCCAAATCAATTGGGACTTGGATGGATGGCAAAAAAGACTGCGAAAGTCGGGGGTCCCATCTGGCCGTGCTCCGAAACACCGTCGATATGGTAAGTGCAGAGTGGAGAAGGCCTGAAAAAGATCCAAAAGTCCTTGGTTTTGGTGGGTAGAGGGGCAAAAACTGCCCCGGAGCTGCTGGTTGGTGGCAGGAGGCTTGGTAGCTCCAAGCAACCACCTGCTAAGAGATCGGAACAGGGCTGAATCACCACCTAAAGGGCTTTGGAGGCCCCTTCCCACCTTTGGCACGAAAGGAAAGAAGGACAAAGAGCTCGGGGGGAGCCTCCGGTGTCTCAGGCTCTGATTTTAAGCTCTTTCCACCCACTAAGCGAGGCAGCTCCCATGGCACAGGTCATGGTTTGGGCCTGTCTCTTTGAGGATGAACCAAACGGGTTCAAAAAGCCAGCTTTGCACCCCAACGAGCCTGTTGCTGAAGGCCCCTGGAAGCCACCACTCCTCTCCCATTTCCCAGGAGCACTTACGTGAGATCATCCGCCAGGACAAGCTAACGGTGTGGATCGGATTAAAGGCATCCAACTACATATGGAAATGGGTGGACAACTCCTCCTTCGATGCCACCACGTGAGTACAGCTGCAACCCGCTGTGTGCAGAGCAGCTTTGCTCCACTTCAGCCCCCAAATCTCCAATATTTGGTGTCCACATCAGCTTTGTAATCCCCCACAAAGGCTTTATAGCCCAAAAGTTGGTTGTACAGAGCACTGCAACTTAAGATATCACACCTATGCAGCCAATGTGGTTTTAACACCCTGGGCATGCTCCAGTGGAGGAAGGAGCCAAATGGTAGTGCAAGCACAGCAATCTGCATGGGCATCTGGGCAAGCCCGCAGCAAGAAACCACCTGGAGCCCAGTGAGGCAGGCTGGGGGAGAAGCTCCTATTGTCCCCTCTCCCAAGAGAGAAAGGAGCTGCTTTTGAGCGCTGACAATTTTGGTTTGCAGGTTTGGTTCCCTTGGGAGTGTGGAGAACGGCTGCGTGACCTTTGTAGAGAAGGGGCTGGAAGACGATGGCTGTGAGAGCAAATACAAGTGGGTTTGCCAGACAGAACCCTTCCATCTCCTTTCAAAGACTGCAGGAGACAGAGACCTGTATGGTGCCCACCCTGAAAAGCCCATCCTGCAGGATGCTTGCTGCTAATATTTGGGTTGAAGCCAACCCTCCTTGTTACGGCTCTGCAAGGAATTTCAGGGTTTGAACCCAACCAAGCACAGCCAAGAGTATTAGTGTAGGCTCTGTTGCAATTAGCTTCCAATTTTTATTTTTTTATTAAAAAATCCATCCAAATACGTTCATACAGACTGTATCTGTTCCAATCATACCTTGTCCTCCTTCCAATAGGAAGTTCAAAATATAATAGCATAATAGCATTATTGCATAGCACATCAGATTTACAGGTTTCAAATTCGTTACTACAAACATGCCGTTTGCAAACGTAGAAAAAAATAAAACACTACTTTCTGCTGCAGAAGCAGAGAGAGGAACAGCGATGCTGCTGACTTGAGTACAAAAGATTGACAGAGCCTTCACAAAAGAGCCTGAGCAGAAAGGAAACTCAGCAATACTGTTGTGGCAAAGAAGCAGACCTAAATAAGATTTACAATTTTTTTCTGTCACTATCATGAGCTTTATGTTTATGGGATCTTTTACTCAGGGTAAATCTTTCGCTCGGTGCTTGGGCTCGGTACTGGGGCCGGTCCTCTTTAATATCTTCATCAATGATCTGGACAAGGGCATTGAGTGCACCCTCAGTAAGTTCACAGATGACACCAAGCTATGTGCATGTGTCGATCTGCTCGAGGGTAGGAAAGCTCTGCGGGAGGATCTGGATAGGCTGCACCGATGGGCTGAGGTCAACTGCATGAAGTTCAACAAGGCCAAGTGCCGGGTCCTGCACCTGGGGCGCAATAACCCCAAGCAGAGCTACAGGCTGGGAGAGGAGTGGTTGGAGAGCTGCCTGGCAGAGAATGACCTGGGAGTGATGGTGGACAGTCGGCTGAATATGAGCCAGCAGTGTGCTCAGGTGGCCAAGAAGGCCAACGGCATCCTGGCTTGTATCAGAAACAGTGTGACCAGCAGGGCTAGGGAGGTGATCGTCCCCCTGTACTCAGCTCTGGTGAGGCCGCACCTCGAGTACTGTGTTCAGTTTTGGGCCCCTCGCTACAAGAAGGACACCGAGGTGCTTGAGCGGGTCCAGAGAAGGGCGACGAAGCTGGTGAGGGGCCTGGAGAGCAAGTCCTACGAGGAGAGGCTGAGGGAGCTGGGCTTGTTCAGCCTGGAGAAGAGGAGGCTCAGGGGTGACCTTATCGCTCTCTACAGATACCTCAAAGGAGGCTGTAGAGAGGTGGGGGTTGGCCTGTTCTCCCACGTGACTGGTGACAGGACAAGGAAGAATGGGTTTAAGTTGCGCCAGGGGAGTTTTAGGTTAGATATTAGGAAGAACTTCTTTACTGAAAGGGTTGTGAGGCACTGGAACAGGCTGCCCAGGGAAGTGGTGGAGTCACCATCTGTCCTGGTTTCAGTTAGAACAGAATTAATTTTCTTCCTAGTAGCTGGTGGAATGCTGTGTATTGGCTTAGGATGAGAAGAGTGCTGATAACACCCCGATGTTTTAATTGTTGCAGAGCAGTGCTTATACTAAGCCAAGGATGTCTCAGCTTCTTGCTTTGTCCTGCCAAGAGGCAGGCTGGGGGTGCAGTAAGAGCTGGGAGGGGACAGACCCGGGACAGGTGACCCAAAGTAGGCAAAGGGGTATTCCATACCATCTGGGGTCATGCTAAACAATATATAGGGGTGGCTAGCCAGGGGGAGGGGGCCGGACTGCTCGGGGTTAGGCTGGGCATCGGTTAGCGGGTGTTGAGCAATTGCATTGTGCATCACTTGTTTGTACATATTATTAGTAGTAGTACTATTATCACCATTGTATTATTATTATTATTTTTATTTTGTTATTATTGTCATTATTATTTTCCTGTTTTATAAAACTGTCTTTATCTCAGCTCACAGGTTTCACTTCCCGTTTCTCTCCCCTGTGCCCGATAGGGAGGGTGAGCGAACGCCTGTGTGGTGTGTAGCTGATAGACAGGCTCAACCATGACACCATCCCTGGAAGTCTTTAAAAAACGGTTAGATGTAGAGCTTAGGGATATGGTTTAGTGGATGACTTGTCAGTATTAGGTCAGAGGTTGGACTCGATGATCTTGAGGTCTCTTCCAATCTAGAAATTCTGTGATTCTGTGATTCTGTGATTCGCGTCCAGAGGACGTAGTCATTGGGCCTGCTGCAGATCCAGTATTTCTCCGTGTGGCAGAGGGCTGAGCTGATCTCCTGGTTTAGGTACGCACAAGGGCCACCTCCCCACACCTCAAACCTGCAATGCAGACACACTCAGGAGTGAGCAGAAAAGGAAGTAGGAAAACTACCCTAAAAACGGGAAGAAAACCTGGGGTTTCCTCTCCTGGGAAGGTCAGAAGGGGCAGCATTCAAGGTTTAATAGGGGTTCAGAGCACAGCGTCCTTGGTCCGCACCCAAAACTCCTGATGGAAAACGCAGCTAGTGCGTGGCAGGAGAATGGTCCCAGTCCCAAAAGAGGGCCATCCCAGACCCTATAAGAACTCCTGCCCAATTGCCAACCCAAAGCACCCAACCCCAACCAGGCGGAGGGACTGACCAGTTGTTGAAGGCTGTGCCGTTGGTCCACCTCCACTGGCCGTTGACTTCCTCGTGCAGCCCGAACCAGTGGTTTGCTTGTCCCTTGTAAGCGCTTGATGAATCCTTTATCGAAAAAGAAAAAAAAAAATAAAGGGTTTAGGTGATCCTGTCTTCCTACAAATAAAACTCAGCAGCAATAGGAACCCTGCAATAGGAAGGTGATGTTGATTGAGAGATGTGAATATTCTTCAGTTTCACAGAAAAGGGAAGCCCCTTGAGGGCAAGATCGGGACAGCACCCATCTGGACATAGGGAGAGAGTTTTGGAGAAAATAATGTGATATTGCTCACTCCACAGCCTGGGCTGTTGCTTTCCCCAGGGCATCTTCTTCGGCTTGGCAGTGGGTGAAATTTGGGGGAAAATTGGATTTTGTTCTAGTCCCACACATTTTCCACGCCAGAGCCTGTGTAGGGGGCTCAGTTCTCACCAGTCCTCCTGGCTTCCTATGGAAGGTCAGGGAGGCTTCCATGGTCTTGCAGTTCTCCAAGCTGGTTTTCCAGTTGCTTTCATTCTTAGAGAAATAGTAGCACTGCTTTGGAAGCGATCCCATTGGGTGGGCACACGTGGGAGAATTGGGGATGTGATGAGTGAGACTGCAGATGCACAACTGTAAAAGGAGAAAACCAAGCAGGTGAGATGCATGGACAGCCACCAAAAAAAACAAAAAAAAAGGCAAAAAAATAACATTTCTTTAATTATATGTGTTCCCCCTCCAGCAAGCGTAGGGGGGTTGGGATGCGCCAAAATGGGGCACCTGCTTGGAAAGGCTGAGTAGAGCCTGGTTGAGGGGACTAAAGGGGGTGCCCATGAAGCAGGCTCAGTGCTATGGTTCGGGGCCTTTCATCCTGCTGGGAAAACCCTGAAATCCCCCACACCATCCCTGAAAAAGGTTCCTGGCCATCTCCCTGCCTGGGGATGCTCCAGTGGTACTCACCAACCAAGGCCACCAGCAGAGCGAGGACAAGGACACTCAGCACCACACACAGCGGAGCCAGGAGCTGTTGTACACGACGACATTTCTTTTCCATTCCCATGGGGGCTGGAGTCTGGTGGAGAAGAGAGCAGGAGATGTGGGCTGGGTCTTTCCACCCCCCATTTGCCCTTTTTTTTTCTGCTGGATCCATGGTTGATCCTATAACCCTCCCCCTTGGGATAGGAGTCTCCCTTCTTTGAGGTCTTCAGGTGGATTAAGAGGTGGCTAGCATGTATAAAATTCAGAGTCTGTCCTCACCCACCAAAACACCCTGGCTGGTGCCCATCCCACCAGTGCCCCACTGGAGCCAGATCTCACTTTCCCCCAGCATTACCCCATTTGCATTGTTTTTCCTCATCTCTTGGAGGGTTCAGTACTTCTTCTTGGTCGGGGTGATTTTTTTCTTGGGCTCCTTTCCCCATGGCTGGCAAGGAAATGTCGGGTCTCACTGATCACATCCACACATCCAGTCCTCTCACAGCAACTGGCTGACCATGCTGCGATAGCAAGGAGAGGGTTGAGTGTTGGGGGGCCAGCAAAGCCCCCCGGGTCTGAGGACTTGTGGGGATCTGGAGGGGACATGGGGAAACCGTGGTTGGGGAGAGGGCTTGTGGTCTGCTGGAGGGAATGGAGGAAGGGTGAAAGGATGGGAGAAAGGAAGAAAGAAAAGATGAAGAAAGAAAGAGAAGGGGAAAAAAAAAGAGAGAAAGAAAAGGAGAAAAAGAAAGAGAAGGAGAAAGGAGAAAGACAGAAGTTTAAACAGAATTTAATGCTAAAAGAAATTAAGTGTACTGCCTATCAGGGTTCAAAGCTCAAAGGAACTCGAGTTGTTTGTGACACGACATCCTCCCCCAGCTGGCTTCAGCCCAGCAAGCAAGCAGGAAGCTGAATTTGAAAAAAACACAGGACAGTAATAAGCCACCATCAGTTGTGCTGATATTCTTGGTTTGCAGCCACCCCTTATCTCAGTTTCCCATCCAACAATAACAGGTGTGCTGTTTGCTGTCCAAACAGAGCAGCTCTTGCACCACAGATCTTGTCTTCCCAACTGTTGTTGGGAAATAACTAACAAGAAAAGACTTTATTTCCAAAACAGCCTTCATCCACATTGCAAAGTTTTAGGAATAAGCTCCTAAGGAGGAGAAAGGTTTTGGTTTTGAGTGAATGCAGCAGCACGCAAGGAAAAATTGCATGAGAAACTTTCAGTGCTAGGGGTCGTGCTGGGAAATAGTGTGTTCAAAGAAGTTTTAGGATTGAATTTGGCAGCAGGATCATAAAAATTTGTAATCAGTGTGGGATGCAGGTACCCCAAACTCTGTAGTACAAAGCCTGGCTCAGCTTCAAATTTGGCTTGCATGAGCTAAAACTACCCTAACCCAACTGAGACTTCTCTGAAGACCAAATGTCAGTTTCTGATACCAGTAAGGGAACTGCTAGCGTTTAATGCTTTCGTTTCTTCATTTCAAGAGAAGAGCTTCTCTTCTTCTTTTGGTTAAGCTTCCATTTTTTAACAATTGTAAAATTAACCAAAATTCCCTTGAAAAAAGCACACACGTTGGTGGGTTTTGCACCCTGCAGACTCAAAGGAGCCTGAGCTTGTACCCAGGTTTTATCCCTCTCCCCCCAGTCTGCTTTTTTACTGCAGCTCCCTCCAGATTATTAATTCTACTGATCAGTATTTTATTTTTTTTTTTGCTTCATTTCATCTTTATTTTTTTTTCCTTTCCCTCCCAGGGAAAGCACAAAGATAGCATGCTTTAGCTGGACGAGAAACTGGGAAAGCTCTCCCAAAGTAACAAACAGGCAAAAAATAACCAGCAAAAACAGATGGAAATGGTTAAATATAGAAAACAAAACAAAACAAAAAAAATCCCCTAGGAGTTCTAACTATGTGCAAGAAGATTCACACAGCCCTTGAGGCAGCAGAAGCTTCAATAAAGCCAGCTGTAAAGGATGAATTTGGGAATGTGTTCTTTTTTTGTCTTTTCCCAGAAACATATGAGTGGCAGTTTTGGAATTAAAAAAGGGAGAGAACATGAGGAGAATGAGAAAAAAACAAACAAACAAACAAACAAAAAAAACCAGCACAAATGCAAAAAGAAGGGCGAAAATGAGACAAAGAGGGTGGAAAAATGGGAGAGGACAAAGGAATAAAAAATATTTAAAAAATAAAAAGAAAGAAAGAAGATGGAGACCCGTCCTGGCTGGCTGCTCCTTCCCTCCCCATCTCAGCCCCAAGCCGAGCGTTCCTTGCTCAGCTGGCCGCACATTTTTCTGTTCAGACGTGGACTTACCCCAGCAGCACTCTGCCTAGTCCTGGAGTCTTATGTAAGTCATCGTGTTTGTGCGCAGTAACAGTGTGGGAGGTGGAGCACTCAGCCTGATGAAAACTGAAGTAGTGGGAGTGCCTTTGTGGGAATAGAAACGTTGTTTTTGCAGAGTACAAGGCAGGAATGCGGTACTCAGATATGCTTACAGTGATAAGAAAGCTTAGCAGGCGACCTTGTAAAAATGCAGACAACCAGACTCCATAGGACAATTAGGTGAAAATCGCTGTGTTAAGTCAAGTCAGATAAGTGAAGAAACATTACCACTTCAAGCAGTAAAAATGTCAAAAGAAATTTGAAATTTAACGGGCTGGCAACTGAAGGTCTTGCATTGTTTGTGAAGCATCAGATAGATTGTGAACCTGGATTACCCACTCAGTGGGGAAACAGGGGAGGATCCTGCCATAAAAAAGTATATAAACTGTGTTTTGGAACCAGTCAGTGCGCTCTCCTGCTTGTGGGGCACCCACCACTGCAATCGCAAATAAATTACTACTTCACTGAGATCCTCACCTGAGCCTAAGTTATTGGCTACAGAGTGTTTCTCACACTTCTCACCAAGATACATAACCCTCTCTTGACCAAGAAGGCTAAAGATTTCCAAACATCACTGGCTGGTCCTTGAACTTCTGTTACAATTTTTTTCCTGTTTATGAAAGAGGAAGGACAGCAATATCCTGTTATTTTTCTTAAAACAAAGTGGGGAGAACTTAAGGCCCCCAGGGGGAGTAATGCTGCATGTCCTTATACAATACAAGGTTTTTCCATCTGAGCTACTTTGCAAAGATTTGCATGAAAAGCGGGGGGCCACAGTAACGTGGTTTGATTCACCTCTTCCTGTGGCAAGTTTAACTGAAGTTTCTGAAGGTGTTTGAGGTCTGGTGGGCTGCTCAAAATAACCTTTTGCCCCCTCAAAATAAGATTATCTTTTTATTTGTTTGTTTGTTTCCTTGTGGGTGCAGTGGGCAAAGGCGAGATGGGGCGAGGACGACTCCCAGGAGATCAAGATGATTTTTCCCCTGTGGGATGTGCAAACACACGGTTGGGGGCTCAGAAAGGGGAGCCTGTCTCCATGTGTTGTGGGTTTACGTGGCAAGGTTTCAGTAGCAGGACTCCATGTCCCAAAGGATATCAAGCATAATAATTCGTGTCAAGAAGTTGGTTGATATTAATAAAGAAGGGGGAGATGCGGAGTGTGGCCATGGTGGTCAGAAAGCCCCGTGACTGATAATAACATCAAACTCTTAAGGATGAGGCCATCAGGAATATAAAAGAGTTTAGAGGGAACAAAGAAGGGTGATTCAGGAGACTCCATGCAGTCTCTGGTTTCTTGTTCTCCAGCTGGTCTCTTGTTCTCCAGCCATTAAGGCATGGAAGATTCTGGGTGTTTGCTGTTGTTATATGCAAAGTTGTTTGACCAAAGTAAAAGGTGTTTTGAAAAGAACTGCTGTGGAGACAAAGGTATAAGAGGGGAGCCTGCCCTCAAGATAAAAAAGGCAACACCAATGAAGTTATGTCATCAATAAAGAAGCAGAAAGGAGGAGTGAAAAGGAGCAGGCTAGTAGAATGGAGACCAGGACGGGAACAGGCACATTGATTGCCTCATGAAGATAGGTTCGGCCAAACTCAGCAAACTGCTCAGAGAAACTGTCCGATTGTTAAGAAGTTTATGAGCCTGAAATATGGGGCCAAACTGAGGTCAAAGTGTGGGACTCTGCAACTGAAAACAACAAGGTTGCGGTGAGATTGCTGGGCACCTGGCGAGCAATCTCTGAGGACATAAAGAGCCGTGTGGAGCCAAAGTCATAAAAGTATGGTTTGCCAGACAGTGAGGGAGCTTAGGGCTCCTTTACTGATCCGACTGCTACGCCATGGGCCCCTCTGCTGCTACAGCCATCGAAGGCTTTTGCTATTCTGCTCCCTGTTGACCTGAACATGCCTTTTGATCCAGGCCCTATTGACCTTCAAAAGGAGATGGGAGATGGATATGCTTTTCTTCGATCCGGGAAGAACGGGATACATAAGGCCCAAAGACCGAGTTGCTTGACAACTTAAAGCGAGACATATTGTTCAAAAGGAATGGAAAATGGAGACTTGTTAGTAACCAAGAAGAGGAATGGAAGATTGAGACTGTTAAGTCATGGAACTTAAAGGATTGTTTGTTACCTTTCCTGATTGTACGTATGTATAGGTGTACTCGGGTTTAGTATGTAAAAGAAATGTTCTGTATATTTGGAACATTTGATGTTCGTGTGTGCGTGTTTGTGGAGCGTAGACTCCCCGCACACCCAGCCCTGTTTACTTGCCTTTTATAAATAATTTTTTATAAACATTACGAAATTCAAATTGAGTTGTATCTTCATTTATAACACTCGCTATCTGGCAAACCATACTTTTATGACTGTGGCCCCAAATGGCTCTTTATGGCCTCAGAGATTGCTCGCCAGGTGCCCAGCAATCTCACCGCAACCTTGTCGTTTTTAGTTGCAGAGTCCCACACTTTGACCTCAATTTGGTCCGACATTTCAGGCTCATAAACTGTCCGATTGTTAAGAAGGAGAATAAGCTGTAAGGTTACCAGGACAGTCTTTGTTCCTAAGGACGTTTCTTTATTTCTTTCATTTCTTTGTTTCTTTATAACAGATCCGATATGGACAGGTGTGCTGAGGGAGGGAAGATGAAACTATTCGGGCAGCAAAGAGTTAAAGAGTTTGCGTGATCACTGAGCAAGAAAACTACAACATTTCAGGGAAATGAAACCGCAGAGGGGGTGTGGAGGAAGTGGCTAAGTGCATTTGTGTGCCCTTGTCTAGTTTCCCTTCAGATATTCAAAGAATCAATCATCAAGGCGGGAAAAGACCCCCAAAATGGAGGCCCACCCATCCGCCTCCCACCAATGTCACCCACTAAACCATGTCCCCAGGCACCACATCCAACCTTTCCCTGAACACCCCCAGGGACGGTGACTCCACCACCTCCCTGGGCAACCCATCCCAGTGCCTAACCACACTTTCTGAGAAGTGTCTCCAAATTTCCAACCTCAGCCTCCCCTGGCACTACTTGAGGCTGTTCCTTCAGGTCCTATCAGTAGTTATCTGTGAGAAGGGGCTGACCCCCTGCTCCCACACCTTCCTTTCAGGTAGCTGTAGGGAGCCATAAGGTCTCCCTGCCCAACTCCCCAACTGGTCTCCCAGTACCGACCCCTGAGGGACTCCACTAGATACAGGCCTCCAGCTTGACTCTGTCCCACTGACCACAACCCTCTGGCTTCTTCCCTTCAGCCTCTTCACTGCCCATCTCACTACCCCAGACCACACTTCCTCAGTTTAGCTGCGGGGATGCTGTGGGAGATGGTGTCAAAGCCTTTACTGAAATCAAGATAGCCACGTCCGCTGCTTTACCATCATCTATCTACCCAGTTATGTCCCCATAAAAGGCTGTCAGCTTGGTCAAGCACAACTCCCTTGGTGAATCAAAGTGTGCCTACAATGCCCCTAAAGTTAGTTGTATCTGTGATGTACTTAAACAAGCCCTTTTTGTTGTCCTTTACCCCTAGGATAAGGCTTAATTCTAAGGAGGCCTTTGCTTTCCTAGTTGCCTCCCTACACTAGCTAACAACCTTATATTCCTCCCACGTGGCCAGCCCCTCCTTCCATGACCTTTTTTTTTTTTGTTTGCCAAGCAGTTTCCTGGTTAACCATTGAGGTCTCCTGAACTCTACCATCTCTTGGTGACTGCGACACCTCCCTGAGCAACTTCTTCCAAGTCCTAATCACTCTTTCCGAGGAAAAAATTTCCAACCTGAACCTCCCCTGGCACTACTTGGGGCCATTTCCTCTAGTCGTATCATTAATTATCTGCAATAACAGGCCGACCCCAGCTCACCACAAGTTCCTTTCAGATCGTTTCAAAAAGGATACAGCTCATCATGATAGTTGCAAAAAGGATATGGCTCAGACTTCCCCAGAATTTCCAGCATCAAGGGGCACTTTGGGATATATTTTGGTGATTTCCCCATCTTTCCACTGCATTTTTTCCTGTCGGAAAGGTCTCCCCTGGGGCAGTGTGAGCACAACCATGTTTGTTTCTCGGGAAGGGGAACACACTGGTTTTAGGGCCGGGGCTGAATCCATCACCTGCTTCGAGCTGGCTGAGCCCAGCCAGGTTTTGGAGCTCCCAAAAAAATATAGGGGAATGTCCTGGTTTCAGTTAGAACAGAATTAATTTTCTTCCTAGTAGCTGGTAGAATGCTGTGTTTTGGCTTAGGATGAGCAGAGTGCTGATAACACCCCAATGTTTGAATTGTTGCAGAGCAGTGCTTACACCAAGCCAAGGACATGGAATCATAGAATCATAGAATCATAGAATCATAGAATATCCTGAGTTGGAAGGGACCCTTAAGGATCATCAAGTCCAGCTCTTGACACCGCACAGGTCTACCCAAAAGTTCAGACCATGTGACTAAGTGCACAGTCCAATCTCTTCTTAAATTCAGACAGGCTCGGTGCAGTGACCACTTCCCTGGGGAGCCTGTTCCAGTGTGCAACCACTCTCTCTGTGAAGAACTCCCTCCTGATGTCAAGCCTAAACTTTCCCCCGCCTCAGCTTAACCCCATTCCCGCGGGTCTTGTCACTGGTGTTAATGGAGAAAAGGTCTCCTGCCTCTCGACACCCCCTTACGAGGAAGTTGTAGACTGCGATGAGGTCTCCCCTCAGCCTCCTCTTCTCCAGGCTGAACAGGCCCAGTGCCCTCAGCCGTTCCTCGTACGTCTTCCCCTCCAGGCCTTTCACCATCTTCGTAGCCCTCCTCTGGACACTCTCCAACAGTTTCATGTCCTTTTTATACTGTGGTGCCCAGAACTGCACACAGTACTCGAGGTGAGGCCGCACCAGCGCAGAGTAGAGCAGGGACAATCACCTCCCTTGACCTACTAGCGATGCCGTGCTTGATGCACCCCAGGACACGGTTGGCCCTCCTGGCTGCCAGGGCACACTGCCGGCTCATATTCAACTTGTTGTCTACCACGACCCCCAGATCCCTCTCTTCTAGGCTGCTCTCCAGCGTCTCATCGCCCAGTCTGTACAGTGCAGCCAGGGTTTCCCCATCCCAGGTGCAGGACCCGGCACTTGCTCTTATTGAACTTCATGCAGTTGGTGATCGCCCAGCTCTCCAACCTATCCAGATCCCTCTGCAAGGCCTTTCCACCCTCAACAGAGTCCACAACTCCTCCAAGTTTGGTGTCAAACATCTCAGCCTTTTGCTCTGTCCTACCAACGGGCAGGCTGGGGGTGCAGTAAGAGCTGGGAGGGGACAGACCCAGGACAGGTGACTCAAACTAGCCAAAGGGGTATGCCATACCATCTGATGTCATGCTAAACAATAGATAGGGGTGGCTAGCCGGGAGAGGGGGCCGGACTGCTCGGGGTGAGGCTGGGCATTGGTCAGCGGGTGGTGAGCAATTGCATTGTGCATCACTTGTTTGTACATACTATTATTAGTAGTACTATTATCACCATTGTATTATTATTATTATTATAATTATATTATTATTATTATTTTCCTGTCTTTTTAAACTGTCTTTATCTCAACTCACGGGCTTCACTTTCCATTTCTCTCCCCCGTCCCAGAGAGGGAGGGTGAGCGAACGGCTACGTGGTGTGTAGCTGCCGGCCGGGTTAAACCACGACAGTCTTTTTGGCGCCCAACGTGGGCCTCGAGCCCATGACCCTGGGATTAAGAGTCCCATGCTCTACCGACTGAGCTAGCCAGGCCAAGGAAGGACCAAAGGCTGCTGGAGTAGGATCCCCATCCCACCTCCTTTCTGTGTCACAGCCACCCAAGATCTCATTGGGAAGGTGCCAGGATAGGTCCCAGCCCACCACCTATGGGAAGGGGCACGAAAACCATTTCTGCATGAGCAGATGTGACAGCAAGGCCATTGGTAGATGGCCACAGGTTTCTTGCCCTGGACTAGTTAATCTAGGACTGAAAAAATGAGCCCTTTGTGGTTATTAAACCCATAGACACCAGAGGGGGGACAAGGTGAGGAGAAGGCAAGGTTAGAAGACAGCAAAGGACATGACTTCAGGTCTTGCTGCTTTCAATTTTGTCACAACAGCAAATTTTGGAGGTAAATTTCTTGCCAATTTGAGAATGAGGACAATGAGAAAAAAAGAAGAAAAGAAAAAAAAAAGAAAAAGAAAAAAAGCAGCACAAACACATAAAGAAATGGGAGAGAGAGACAGAGGGTAGAAAAGTGGGAGAGGGCAAGGGAACAAAAAAAAAATCTTAAGAAAAAAAAGAAGGAAAGAAGATGGAAACCCATCCTGACTGGCTGCTCCTTCCCTCCCCATTCCAGCCCCTAGCCGAGCATTGCTTGCTCAGCCGGCCCCAAATTTTGCTGCTCACACGTGGACTTACCCTAAGAGCAGTGTGTCTACTCCTGGTGTCTCATGTCTTGATTGTGCTGCAATTCAGTGATCAAGAGGAGGAGCTGCTGCAGAAGCAGGGAGTTAAATTTAAAGCGAGGGGAGGGATATTGCTCAGCCTACACATCCTGTAGAAGAGCAGTGGCAGTAGGAACGCCTCTCATGACCAATATATGTAAAGTGACTCAAACCTCACTAGCTGGCACTTGAACACAGGTTATAAAAGTTTGCCTGATAACAAAAGTGGAAGGAAAGCAATCCTCTGTTACTTTTATTGAAGAAAGCCAGTGGAAGGAGTTTAAGGCCCCCGGGGGGGGGAGTAATGCTGCATGTACTGCAGTAACACTTAAAGCACCAATACAACATTTTATTGTCTGAGCTGGCTTGCAAGGACTTGCATGCAAAGTGGGGACCATGGTAACGTGGCTTTGACTCACCTCTTCCTGGGGCAAAACTGAAGTTTTTGAGGATGTTTGAGGTCTGGTGGGCTGCTCAAAATAACCTTTTGTCCCCTCAAAATAGGATTATCTTTTTGTTTTGTTTCTTTATTTTCTTGTGGGTACAGAGGGCAAAGGGGAGAAGGGGCGAGGACGACTCCCAGGAGATCAAGATTATTTTTCCCCCTTGGGATGGGCAAACACACGGCTGGGGGCTCAGAAAGGGGAGCCTGTCTCCATCTGTTGTGGGTTTACGTGGCAGGGTTTCGGTAGCAGGACTCCACGTCCCAAAGGACATTGAGCCCCATATGATGCAGCCGAGTCTCTGCACATTTGGGGAGCCTGAAGGACCCTGCCAGGAGCACGAGGGATGGATCTGATGGGGAAAAGTGTGCTGGGGGAGGGAGAATGAAACCATCTGGGCAGCAAAGAGATAAATGACGGGGATTTCCACAGCACTGAGCAAGATGACCCAGGCATTTTGTGGAAATTCAGTGGGAAGGAGGCGGAGCAAGCGGCTGTGTGCATTTGTGCACCCGTGGCTGCTCTCCTCATCCCGGACACCCTTTGGCATTGCAAATTGCTCCCTAAAGTCCCCCAAAATGTATTATTATTTTTTTCCCCAGGCATGTCCCAGCACCTGTGTGGTTAAAGGTGGCTGTGCCGTTGTCACCGAGCCTCCTCCCAGTCTCAGCTGTGATTGTTCAGAGCATCCAGAAGAAGTTCTTCCCATGACAGCAGAGTATAGCTTGTCATAAAACAATTCCCGGTTGTTTTGTCCCAGGAAATTATGTCATGCTGCGTTGTTCATTATTCCTAATCTCTCTTCTCCCTGCTTCCTCCAATGCTGTGTGAGTAGGGGTGTTACCAAAGCTGTGGATCAGCGACTGGTGTACTGAGAAACGTTTTCTTTTTTTCCCCTTTTAAATACTGCCCCTTGCTCTAACCACTCCCCTTGTTAATAAAATATTGAGGAGGAGTGGCCAAAAAATAAAAATACAAAGAGAAGCGCACATTTCCATTAGAAACCTGCCCGTTTGCTAAAACACATATTTTCTCCCAGCTGAAGCTGTGGGCAGCTCTTGGAGACACATGAGCTCTGCAGGACATGCAGCACACGATGAGATGGCATTGGAAGCTCTCCATCAAATGCCATATATTCAGGCCATATTTTCTGCTTTTAAACCAGCAGTAACCAGAGCACCAAATTCCTCTGCCGCCAAGGCAGGAGGTGTCTCTAGAAATTTGCTTTATGTTTTCACAGAATGACAGAATTGTAGGGGTTGGAAGGGACCTCAAGAAATCATCAGGTCCAACCCCCATTTCCTTCAAAAACGACAAATTTTGCAAGAAAGCCATCTTTCAATTTTATTTTATTTTTTCCAATTTTATCTTTAAAGCTAGAGCAGCGTCTCTTCACACTTGAGTTTGAAAGAGCACCTTTAGGTTGGCCACAGACTGGTGAAAACATCCCTTTTATGGAGAAAAAGGGTTTTTGAACGTGCTGGGTGGCAGCTTTATATGTCTTTTTTTTTGCTCCCTGCAAGTGTAAAAGAATTTTGCCCGGCTCAATTCCCCTACTCCCTGCCCTTTGCAAACTCAAAGCTCAATTTTAATCCGCTGATTTTTGAAGTTTTCCAGAATTGGGACCCATGCCTGGAGGGAGCTTTGGCTCAGCTGGGGGGAAGCCTCTGTGATCCAGAGCAGGAGTAGTCATTGTGTGTTGCTCCCTCTACCGGAGAAAATAAGGTGATAATAATGTGTTTTGGGTTGGGAAAGGTTGTGTTTGAGGTGGTCGAATAAAAAGGGGGTTTATAGGTTAGTTTTGGGCAGCTCCAGCCCCAAAAGAGAGGGGGTGAAGCAGGAAAGATGGGACGGGCTACTGGGATGGACCAAGCTCTGGGTTTTGGATGAAGGATGGAGTTTGGAAGAGGAACCTATTTACAAAAACAAAAAATCAAACACAGTGGATGCAAAATCATTTGAACCAAAATTTAGGGTGTTGAAAGGACACCTAAAAATCCCCAACATGAATTTGTACAGACACAAAACGTAGGCAAAGGACAATGGGATGGACGCATCCTTTCTGCTGTGCCCTGGGATCCCCGTTTGGGGCTGTCTGGTAGAGAATGATGATTTCTCGTCTGCTTTATTTGACCAAAAACCAACCTGCAGAGCAAAGCCACATCCTCCAGTACCTCACAGAGCAGGAGGGAGAACAGAGTGCTGCTGCTGCAGGAGGAAACCTCAGGGCTTCAGTTGTTTTCCCCAGCCTAAGAGGGGACAAGAAGGGTCTGGGGGATCCGTGCCGTGATGATGGGAGCCGTCACCTCGTTGGCATTGGTTGGTGTGTGAAGGTGTTTTGGATTTTGGGATGGGCTGCAGAAAAAGTGGGAAAAGTTGCAGGTTTTTCACCCATTTCTTCCCCCGGAGCATTTCTTCAGCTGGTTCACCACCACCAACCACAGAGGCTTGTGCAACCCCTTCTCCACAAAAACCTTCTCTCAGTCATTAATTCCACCAATTTTTGTCCTCTCCACCCCAAACAGAGGAGACGTTTCCACCACTTTGCTCTACAACCCTTGTACTCTTTGCTCTGGAGCAATAGTTGGGGTATAGAGGCTGCGATGTGAGCTCAGGTATCTCAAACCTGAATTTAGTTGATAAATCCAGCAAGGTTCATTGTCGAAATAATGACATCCAACCTTCTTAATGAGGTGGCTCTTCACTGCCCATATTCCCAAAGACTTTTGGTGGAGAAATTTATGGAAAATGGAAATTTTGCGCCTCCAAAGCCTCAGCCATCTAAAGGAAGGGAGATGATGGGGGTGATGTTTGGGGTGAAGCATCTCTTCACGCTTGACCACGATTTGTGAGAATATAAATTAAAATAAAATAAATGAAGGTGCTAAACTATGGGGTGAAATGGAGCAAAAATAAATCAGAGGAAACACGGATGCTAGGACTTAAAAACCAGAATCATAGAATATCCCTAGTTGGAAGGGGCCCATAAATTAAAATGAAAAATAAAAATAGGAAGGAAATTTCATCCTGGCGTGGACTTCTTGCTGCTGCAAATTTCTTTTGCATGAAAAGAAATTTGCCTGGGGGTTATTTAAAAGAGAAAGTGCAGAATCCAAGAGAAACCAAGAAAATTCAAAAGGCCAGAGGCAGGAAGGGCTGAAGACAGGGAGGTTTGGGGTTTGGTGGCTTAAAAATTGAACGAAGACACAAAACATAACGAGGTGTTAATCTGTTAAATCTTGTCGTGGATGAGGTTCTGAAAAGGTGCTAAACCACCCGCTGCTGCTGTCAAGGGAACAGTTCTGCAGCACTTTTGCAAAAAATGTTAGGGAGGGAGCAGCGACGCAGATTCTACCTTAAAATCTATTTCATTTTATTTATTTTTGCTAAAATCCCCATCCCTTATACCTGTCCCTGGCTTGCAGAGGTGCTGGAGGCAAAGGGGCTGAGCGCTGGTGGCTTCTGCTTCTTCTTCCCCCCTCCAAGGTTTTACCCTCACCTCCAAAGGTGGGAAAGGGAGAGGTACTGATTGCTAAGTGGAATTTTGGGGATAACTGCATGGAAAAGGGCGTTATGCTCCCCTCCCCAGCTTGGTGCCAAGGTGCACAAACGTCTGTGCAAGAAGATAATTGCAATACAAACATGATAATAAATGAGATGAAAGCCCTGCCCTGACCCCGCACTCCTGGAGAAGAAGGGGTTACTATTGCTTTTTCAATGCTTTTTATTTTGATATTTCTTTTTGCTATATATATATTTTAAGTTTTATGCTAGTTAAATAAAATGTCCTTCCCTTTGCACCTCTCAGAGGCTGCTTCGCTTTCGGAAACCGCTTTTTGTGGGCGGCCTCAGCAGGTTGGGGAGGAGAGGGCAGCAGGCGAGGCTCAGACACCCAGCGCCGCTTCACCCAGCTTTACCTCCAGGAAAAAAAAATATATATATATATAAAATAATAATAATTTTCTTTTCTGCCCCTGCACCTGGCTCTGCTGCTCCCTGGGGACTGCTGGCAATGGCGCTGACAACGGTTTACACCGACCTGGAGTTGCCACCAGGTCCCAGAGGCATCCCACAGCTCCCAAAGCCTCCTGGTGAGTGGATTTGCTTCGTACCCATGGGTGCAGGGGTCCCTCTGGGCTTTGGGCCTATTTTTTTAGGGGAGGTGGGCTGGACGCCCTACAAACAGTGCTGGTGCTGTCCCTGGTGCCACTCCGGAGCTGCTGGGCCCTAGAATGGGGCGGGGGAAAACACAGGAAGAAGAGTTTTTTTTTTTTTTTTTTTTTTTTCTGGCCCAAATCCTCATTTTCCTCAAGGATGTTTGCTGTCCACCTCCACTACGGGGCAGAGCAGCTGCACGAGCAGATTTCTTTCCCCAAATCTCTCTGAAATGTGCTGCAAGGAGAATTTCCCCGAGGACACCGCTACCTGCAGAGCTTTTGCACGCTCCCCTTTCTCACCTCGCTCGAGGGCTTCTGCAAGCGAGCAGCAATTGTGGCTTTGAGCACCCCAAGGCTTCATTTTGGGCCCTTCCCTTGAGCCAGGACCCCCCCAAGCCCCCTCCCAGGTGCAGCACGGGGTGCAAGGAGCTGAGCTGCTGTTCATCACCTTGGCCAAGTGAGGGAGGCAGCTTGTGGGTGTTTTTTTGCTTCTCAGCTCCCCTCCAAGCCACCTTGCAGGATGCAGGGTGAGGGGGGGAGGGGGGACAGATGTGACTGTCCCCATGACGTGGACACCAAACTGAAGGGGGTTAAAACAGGGAAGGGATGGTGACGTTGTGGGTTTCTCTCCCAATACAGGTCCCGTTGCAGGTCACCGGTGGTACTGGGTGATAATGGGAACCGGATGGGTTGGGGCCGCCGTCCTGGCGGGCATCGTGGTGTGGCTGCTGCAGCGACACGGTGAGTGGCGGGGTGTCAGGGTGGGGGGAAAACAAATCAAATCCCCCCCAAAAAAGCCATGGCAGCTCCGTATTGCACCTGTATTTAGAGAACATCTCCTGGACACACCAGGTTGTTTTTTTGTTTGTTTTTTTTTTGTTTATTTGTTTGTTTTGTGGGTTTGATGCTTGTGCTGCCACAAATCCCTGCTCCCTCTGGCAGCACCTTGCTCCGTCCCATGCTGAGGGTGGCTCCGCACAAGGGTTTCACCCCACTGCTTGCATCCTGGGGTCAAACCCATCCCGCCCCCCAATTTCAGATGGAAACAGCCTCAATCCCGCTGGCTCGTGCTCCTGGGAATCCTGCCTGGGCAAGGACACCCCCAGCTCCAACTGCTCCCTGAACTGCTTCCAGCTGGGGCTCAGAGAGCGGCTGTGCGAGGCCAAGAGCCACCAGGCACCAGGTAGCCCACGCTGTTACGGGGGTGTTGGCTTGCTTTGGGCCCCTCCACACAGAAAACGGGGCCTGACAGCGAGGGAAAGCCCCCCTGGACTCCCCATCCTGCTGCTTTCCCTCCGTGTTGTCACCTTTATCCTTCCCCTCTCCATGCACCCCTCTTTGTACCTTCAACCTCTGCTCCTATCCCTCCAACCCCAGCTTTCCCCCCAGTTCTCATAAAGATTTTTCTCCTAGAAAACAAAACAAAATAAAACAGGGGGTTGAGAAAAGCTTGGGAGGGTCCTGGGGAGGGGTCTCCCAGCTTCGCCCCTTACCCAGCTCACGTCCCCAACCCCTGCCCAGGTGCCGAGGGCTGCTGGCTCTGCCCTGCGGGCTGGCAGCCCTTCGCCACCAAATGCTACTGGGTTTCTGCAAAAACCCTGCCCTGGGAAGAGGCAGGAGGTGACTGCAAGGACAGGAGGGCGGAATTGGTGATGCTGAAGAGCATGGAGGAGAAGGTAAAGGACCAAAGAGAAGCATCACGACCCCAATCAGATTTTGTTTTGCAGCTGATGCTGCCTGCCCAAATTGCAGAGACAATCAGATGTTGGAGAAATTAAATAATAATAATGAAGGGGGAATAATAATGATAAAATAATACAATAATAATAGAAGGGGGAGAAAAGAGGGATAGAGGGGGGTAAAAAGGGGAGAAGGAGGAGAAAAGGAGGTGAAGGGGGGGGAAAAGAGGGAGGGCGAAGAAAAGGGAGAGAAGGGGGGAAGAAAAGGGGGAGAAAAAGAGGATAAGGGGGAAAGAGGGATAAGGTAGGAAAAAGAGGGAGAGTGGGGAAAAAGGATGGGGGGGGAAATGGGGAGGAGGAGAAAACGGGGAAGAAGGGGTGAAAAGGAAGAGAAAGGGGGGGAAAAACAGGGAGATGGGGTCTGCTTCCTCCTCCCCTAGGTCTTCATTGGGGCCATAAGCAAAGAAATACCAGGGAGCTGGACGGGGCTCAGCACCATCCCGACTCACGGTGAGGAGTGGACGTGGATGGATGGATCCCCTTTGCAGGATGATTTGTGAGTTGTTCCCGAGCCCCATGCAAAAATCCCATCCCAGGAGAAATTTGGGTTGCTCACCCCCTTCCTTGACAGCAAACTCCCCCCAGAATCCTTCCAGAGCTGGTGGGGAGCAAATGAAATTTGGGCAATGCGGGCCCGCAGCCCCCAGCTGCTCGGCAAGGAGAGGAAGAAGTGATCAAAACATTTTTCCTACATATTTTCCCTGTAATTTCAGGCAGGGAAATTTCAACTGGTTAAAAAGGAGATGCCCCAGTCAGGGATATTTTGCAGCTGGGGTCCTCCTGTAGCCACATTGACTTTGATATCCAAGAAAAAAAATAGAGCTTTTGGGAGAGATAAATATTTATTAACAAAGCAGAGGGTGTATGGGGAGGAGAAACAAGTGTGGTTTTTTTGTTTGTTTGTTTTGGTTTGTTTCTTTTGTTTTGTTTTGTTTTGTTTTTTTAGTATTTTTTGTATTTTTGTTTTGTTTTGTTTTGTTTGTTTGTTTGTTTTTTTGTGGGGCAAAAGCTGGAAAATTGCTTTCTCTGGAGTAACAGGAGGCAAACAGGGTGGTACACTCCAAGCTGAACGGCTGACTTGGTTAAACTTTTTGGGGGGGCTAAACAACTATCTGAAGAGATGAAATGTTGCTGCTGGAAGCAGCATCCAAGCGCTTTCTGTTGTGCTGACTAAAATCTTGCTTACGGTGCTCCCCAGGCTGCAGGTGACGGGGGAAAGGAGGGTGAATGCTTGTGCGGCGATATCGAAGGGGAAGCTCTGCTCCCACTTGTGCAGCACGCCATTGCATTGGATTTGCCAGAAAGAGGCCACCAAGATTTAAGCACAGCTTCAACTGAGGGAGCCACGACAAGGCACAAACGGGATGGGACACGGCACCAGGATGCCAAAAAGCAGCACCAGAGCTTCGAGGCTGGTGGCTTCTCCCAGCTCTGCTTCGTTCCTCCGCTTTCCCTTTCTCCTCCTACCTCTGAATCCTGCAAACAAGGGCATCAAGCCCTCAAGCTTCAGAGTGCTGGACAAATGTTTTTTCCAAACCTTTTGGATATTTCCAAGTCTCTCTGCAACTGCTGCAAAGACACGAGTGGCTGAAGGATCCTTTGATCCCAGAGCTCCACGCTGTTGCTTCGAGGAGTTTCTACTTCTGCAAGCTGAAGTTAAAATAAATTAATACTTATTTCTTTAAATAAAGCACCATCAGGAACCCTACACAAGGGGGTTTAATGATAGCAGCTTTCTCTTCGTCATCTTCACGGTGTAAATTCGGAGGCGACTCCAGGATGCAGGGGGATGCTGCAGGGGGCCACTCAGGGCTCTCCTCCAACTATGCTCCCCTGGGGCTCTGCAGGGGGTGGCTGCAGACTGAATACTTCTGCTGGGAGCACCAGTCACTGCTGACCCCAGCAAGGTTGATGTAGGCACATTGGCCATTGCCCCGGATAACAAACCTGCACAGAGTAGCAGAAGGAGAAGTCAAGGGGCTGAGCATCTCCCACATAAGCAAACGGTGCTGGAAGGAGGAGGAAGAATCCTTTCCAGCGGACAATGACCCCCATGCAAAGCTAAATCTGCCCCCTTCCATGAAGGAAGAAATATTTTTGGTTGATTAATCCCATATGGGTTCATCCAGGGATGCCCTCTGCATCCACAAGCTGCTTCCCAAGGACCAAGCATTAGAAGAAGGGGTGGTTAATTGCTCCCAGCCCATTAAAAAATGTGAGGAAAAGCAGCCAGGACGTACAGGTTGTTGAAGAGAGACCCGTTACACCATGTCCAGGGGTCGGATCCCTCCCGATGCAGACCAACCCAGTAGTGCAAGGGACGTCCGTAGTGCAATAGGAAGTGCTGGAAAGCAAAGAAGAAATGTTGTGCCCATCTTCACCTTACATCCTCCAAGGAACCCCACAGCTGCTTCCCAAAAAGCCACCCCAGCACCCGGCAAACCCCTCTTTTAACCAAGTCCTCCTGGCTGTCGATGGTGGCCAGCTGGGCTCCTAGGGAGAGGCAGAAGCTCTGGCTCTTGTTCCAGTTGGTCTCGTTCTGCACAAAGTAGAAGCATTTCTCCCTGAACCCGATGCCGTTTTCTGAGCAGGTGGGAAGGATGGGAGAGGGGCAGGATGGACATTTCCTGGCTGGAAATAAGCAGAAGGAAATCTGCTTATTTTAATCAGTGGTGATGATTTGTGAGATCTAATCCTGTAAAAAACATGTTCATTTCCACTTCTCATTTTATTTTTGTTGTTTTCACCTTTCTGTTCAAAATATTCATTTTCAGTTCAAGAAGCCATTTAGGGCTGAAATAAACACCTCCTTCCTCTCCATAAAGGTCTTTCTGCAGCTTCCTCCTGGAGCAGAGTGTTTTGAGGCAATTTTGGCCCCTTTACGGACAAATTTTGCCCCCATCCAGGTTTTCCCGTGGCATCCCATGCCCAGCCCCTGCCCTATCCTCACCACTGGGTTTTCCAAAGGGGAGGAGAGGATTCTGGTAGGGCCACCTCCATCCTCTTACCCGCCAGGGCAATGACGGTGATCACCAACGCTGTCACGAGCACGGTGGCCCCGATGGGGATCAGTTTGTCCTTAAGGCACTTGAGGCTAAAAGCTGGAGGGAGAACAAAGCAACGGAGCACGGAGGAGAGGCACGGTCAACAAACATGGGGTGCAAGTGCCTCCAAGAGCCCCCCGAGCTCCCCACTGCCCCTCTATTCCCTCCAGCACCTGAAAATACACCCAGAAAGCACGTATCTTGGGGAAAAGGCTCAGTTCAGAGGCTGCCTTTGGCTTCTGAGGATTTTTAGGGCTGCCTGAGCTCATTGCATCACTTCCATCCCCTTCAAGCTTGGATATGAGCATTGCACCCACACCCACAGCTCACGCCATTCCATACCTCTCACAGCTTTCCCATCCTTACGCTCCTCTCCCCAGCTATTTTAATTAAATTAAATTATGCCCATGTAGCTCTAAGCTCTGCCATGACCTCCAGCAGCACTGCGGCATCCCAAAAAAAGGACTGGTGCTTACTCGTCTCCGTTGCTCTTTGGCGTGGGGACATCATCACAGCAGTCGGGTCCTCACCTATAACAAAGCCAAGGGGCTGGTAAGGACGTGGAGGAGCCCCTCTGCCTCCTGCCTGGCCCCGTGAGCAGGATCAGGCCCCACACACCCCTCTGCACCCATTAGGGCCAGCCCGAGGGCTGCAGCAGCAGTTCATCCCCTTATTTTGGGGAAGATGGAAAGCAGACAGTGGTGGATGCATGGTTTCCACCTTCCTGCTTTGAAGGAGAACTCGAGCCCATTGTTTTTGAGCCAGGAAACCATTTCAGCACCTTCTGTTTGCCATGGGGAAGTGCGGTCTCGATAACTTCCCCATTTCTTCAACGTTTTTTGGCTCCAGCCCCCGCTCCACTTGACAGCCCACCAGAAGAACACACTATAGCAACATAACCCTAAAATCCAAACCACCCATCGCAGGCAGGGCAGCCCTTAAGACCAGTAAGGAAAGAGCACGGGGGTTATTTACCTGCATCAGGAAGGGTTTCTGCCATCCTCAAAGTCCCTTTTTTTCCTGTTTTTTGTTTGTTTGTTTGTTTCTCCAGCCAGCTCTTCTAAAAAATATCCGAGATGCTATTTAGGCCTGGACGCACCATTTTCTTAAAGCGCATGGGAAAACATCCTCATTTCTTGCTGTTTCTATTCACTCCAAACTTCGTTCAGTCCCACAGGCTGCAGAAAATGTCCCAGCTCGTAACTGAAAATAAGTAAATAAAAAGAAAAATTAACGATAAAACAAGAAAACCACAGATGAAGCTATTGCCACGGAATCATTTCCATCTCAAAAAGAGCTCAGGCTCTTTAACGGAAGAGCCTCCAGGTGCGTTGAACAAAGCCCAGATGATTATTCTGTGTAAACAGGCAAAACATTGGGATATCCAGACCATGCGGCTGTTTTTTTCTGCTTTGTTTCACAAGAATTTCCCAGGCAAAACCAGCTTGGCCTTTTATTTCCCAAACAAAGCATAAAAAGGTCTTAGTTTTTCTGGTGGTTTTACCATGCTGGGCAGCTAAACCCCACAACCGCTCTCTCACTCCCCTTCCTTTAGATGAGGAGGGGGAGAAGTAAAGCAAAGAACAACTCACGGGTTGAGATAAGCGTAATTTAATTAAAGGGAAATAATAATAACAATTAAATAAAGACTACCATGAACTAAACAGTTTAACTAAGGGGAAATAAAAAGGGAAAGGGGAAAAGGGAGGGGAAAAGGAAAAAAATAAAAAGAAGGGAGGAAAACAAACAAACAAAATAAATGAAGGCTATATGGAAGTGCAGAGGAAAGAAATTACTTTCTACTTCCCACAAATGAGCGATGATTGACCACGTCCTTGAAGCAAGGCCTCAACACACGCAGCCAGTGTTCGAGAGGAGGACCGATGTTTTCTCAATGAGAGCCCACCCCTCCTCTCCTCTTCCTGTTTCTACCTTTTCTTGCCGAGTGTGACATCACACGGTACGGAATACCCCTTTGGTTGGTTTAGGCCAGCTGCCCTAGTGATGCTTCCCTCCTCACTTTTTGCCCACCCCCTAGGAGGGTTAGAGAGAGTCCTGATGCTGTGCCAGCACTGCTCAGCAGCAGTCACAACACTGGTGTGATACCACTGCTGTTCTAGCTCCAAGTGCAGAGCACAGCACTGTATGGGCTGCTGCCGGGAAAGTTAACATTCCAGCCAGACCCAGTACAGTTTTTAAATTGCTCCATTTTGGATAAAGTTGGACCTGGGCAGAGCTTTGCTGCCTTACAACAGCTCGTTGCCACCCTCCTCAGCACCAACTCATCCCCAAAGGACTAAACTGCTCCTGCCCCAGACTACAGCTTGGTGTGTTTGGGAGAAAAAAAAAAAAAAAAGAAAAAAGGCAATAAAGGCTGTTTTCACATCAGATAGCATGCTGAAATCTGTAGGAGCAAACTTTGGTCTCAGTTTCATGGCTCCAGTGGGAAGAGAATTTACTGCCTGATCCAGCAGCAGCCTCAGCGAACATGTTGTCAAGGAAAACAAAGGCTCTTTGTCCAAGCAAAAAAAAAAAAAAAAAAAGGACAGAAACACAGAAACCCAATGCCTGGTTGTTTGGTGCTGGTGGGCAGCTCAGCTCCATCGGGCTGCTCCTGCTCCCCATCCCCAAAGAGCTGGAGGAGAAAATAGGATGAAAAGAAAGCTCAAGGGTTGAGAAAAGGAGAAGGGATCCCAATTATACAGCCAGAACAGCCTCAGTATGGACAGATTGTAATTTATTGCCTGCTAATTTATTGCCTGATAAGAACAGACTGCAGCAGGGAGGACTAAAAACAAAACAAAACCAAATTCTGCCCCATCGACCCTCTTCTACCTGCTCCCCATGAGCTGGGCAGGGAAATGGGGTTGAGGTTGGTCCCTAATGCTTTGTCATTGCTGCTCCTTTGTGGGCACCCCCTGCTCCCCAAATCTTGCCCCGTAAGCTCAACACAACAGCTCCAATAAGCCAAATCCACCCAGCAGCAGCAGCCCCGTGCCCAAATCATAGCTCACCTGCATCCTCCAGCACATTCTGCAGGCACTCTCTTCCCCTCACCGCCATTGAAGTTAATTAGCTGGTGGCAAGTAAACGGTGGTTTAATAAATAACTCCAGCTGGTCACTCTGCACCTGCACAGGTTAAATCTCCTCTTTTGTTTTTAGCTCAAAAAAAATCCCTGGAATTAGGCTCAGGCATCCTTTGCCCAAACCTCGCACAGCTCACATCCCTATAGCTCACCACTTGGTCCAAGGGAAGGGCAGCACATGCAGTTATCTGGAAGTGCAGTTTCAGCTCCCTGGCTCTTTGACTCAAGGCTTTTTGACCCTCTACGGACCAGCTGGGGCTTTTCAACCCTGTGCCGATACGTGGCATTGGCACAGAGCCGAGTGGACTTTGAGCCATGTTGCTAAAAAATGCAAAAAGTGTTTTTTTGATTTTTTTTTTCTGCTCCATGAAACTCCTACAGAAAAAGACACAAAGACTCTGCAGTGTCTGCTTAGAGAATGAAAAGCAGACAACGTGACGTGTTCCTAGCTGCCTCTGAGTCATGGAAACAAAACAACAATGCTCTGCCCCCACCAGCATCAGAAATAAAAATAAAAATAATAATTAAAAAAAGGTTACTTACATTATTTGGCACTGCTGGTGCCTCTCTGTCTCAGGGGAAAATGAAACAAGACAGAGAAAAACACAGCTGCATCTGGGCTCGAAGCCAGATAACGGACAGAAAATGTGTGCCAGAAAGTTGGTGTTTTCTTCCAAGTATCTTTCTGCTGCTCATAGCAGCAGCCTCCCATTTATTTTTAGTTCTGCAGGGTCAAATGGAAATATTTTCTTAAAGAAGAAAGGCTCTCTAAATATTCATACTGTTAAAATTATCATGCCCAACAGCAGCCGGCTGGAAGTAATAAACCCTTGCAACCCAGGTGGTTTCATCCTCCCTTCCTTTCCCCCCCCTGAGCATTTTTCCCCATTGGATCCATCCCTTGTGATCCTGCCAGGGTCTTTCAGGTTCCCCAAATGTGCGCAGACTCGGCTGCATCACACGGCTGCTCCAACCCTTTTTTTCCATAAAAGGGAAAAGTTGGATGTGGTGCTTGGGGACGCGGTTTAGTGGGTGACATCGGTGGTAGGGGGATGGGTGGGTCTCCATTTTGGGGGTCTTTTCCCGCCTGGATGATTGATGCTTTGAATATCTGAAGGGAAAGCAATGGTTAATGAAGGGCACACAAATGCACACAGCTGCTGGCTCTGCCTCCTTCCCACTGAGTTTCCACGAAATGCCATGCTCATTGCTCAGAACAGTCATGGTCATTTAACTCCTTGCTGCCCAGATGGTTTCATCCTCCCTCCCCCAGCACACTTTTCCCCATCAGATCCATCCCTCGTGCTCCTGGCAGGGTCCTTCAGGCTCCCCAAATGTGCAGAGACTCGGCTGCATCGTATGGGGCTCGATGTCCTTTGGGACGTGGAGTCCTGCTACCAAAACCCTGCCACGTAAACCCACACTAGTTGGAAACAGGCTCCCCTTTCTGAGCCCCCAGCCGTGTGCTTGCACATCCCAAAGGGGAAAAATTATCTTGATCTCCTGGGAGTTCTCCTCACCCCATCTCCCCTTTGCCCTCTGTACCCACAAGAAAACAAACAAACAAACAAAAAGATAATCCTATTTTGAGGGGACAAGAGGATATTTTGAGTGGCAAACCAGACCTCAAACATCCTCAGAAACTTCAGTTTTGCCCCAGGAAGAGGTGAGTCAAAGCCACATTACCGTGGCCCCCACTTTGCATGCAAGTCTTTGCAAGCCAGCTCAGACAATAAAATGTTGTATTGGTGCTTTCAGCGTTACAGCAGTACATGCAGCATTACTCCCCCCCTGGGGGCCTTAAACTCCTCCCACTAGCTTTCTTCAATAAAAGTAACAGAGGATTGCTTTCCTTCCACTTTTGCTAACAGGCAAACATTTATAACCTGTGTTCAAGTGGCAGCCAGTGAGGTTTGAGTCACTTTGCACATATCGGTCAAGAGAGGCGTTCCTACTGGCACTGTTCTGCAAGACCACAAGATCTCGCACAAGATCACAGGCTGAGCAATACCCCTCCCCTCGCTCTTAAGTAACACTCCATGCTTCTGTAGCAGCTATTCCTCTCGTTCACTGAATTGCAGCACAAGCAAGACATGAGACACCAGGAGTAGACACACTGCTCTTAGGGTAAGTCCATCTGTGGACTTACTACGTCAGGTGGAGGCAAAAGATTTACCCCAAGTAAAATATCCCATAAACATAATGCTTGTGCCAAAACTAGCACAAAAGCTGGTAAAAACTTACTTAAATCTGCTTCTTTGCAGCAACATTATTAGAATTTCCTTTCTGCTCCGATTCTTGGAGGCTCAGTCAATCTTCTGTACTGTCCAGCCACAAGAGGGATCTGGGAGTTTTAGCTGAGAGCAAGGTGAATGAATATGAGCCAGCAGTCTGCCCTGGCAGCCAGGAGGGACAACCATACCCTGGGGTGCATCAAGCATTATATCACTAATTAGTCAAGGGAGTTGATTGGATAGGACCCACAGAATGGTGTCAAGCTGGGGCAGGGGAAGTTCAGGCTGGCCATCAGGAAGAGGTTCTTCATCAAGAGGGTGGTTGCACGCTGGAACAGGCTCCCCAGGGAAGCAGTCACTGCAGCAAGCCTGTTTGAGTTTAAGAAGCATTTTATCTGTGCTCTTAGTCATAGGGCATGAACTTTCATAAACCTGTATGTTTGTAATACTAGATCTGTAACCTACAAATCTGATGTTCTATGGAATTATGCTATTTTTTTACTATACGTTTCCTGTTGGAAGGAGGACAAAGCAAGAATGGAACAGATACAGTCTGTATGTACATATAGGTATGCTTTTTTTAATAAAAAAAAAAAATAAACCACATGCTAATTTCACTGATAGTCTCAGCTGTGATTGGTTGGCTTCAAACCCCAAAATTCCTCGCAGAGCTGTAACAAGGAGGGTTGGCTTCACCCCAAATATTAGCAGCAAGCATCCTGCAGGCCGGTCTTTTCGGGGTGGGCACCATACAGCTCTCTGTCTCCTGCAGTCTTTGAAAGGAGATGGAAGGGTTCTGTCTGGCAAACCCACTTGTAGTCGCTCCCACAGCCATGGACCTCCAGCTTCTTGTCTTTCAATGTTGCGCAGCCGTTCTCCGCACTCCCAAGGAAATCGAACCTGCAAACCAAAACCGTCAGCAACTAAAAACAGCTCCTTTTCCTCTTGGGAGAGGGGGCAACGGGAGCTTCTCCCCCAGCCTGTCTCACTGGGCTCCAGGAGGCTTCTTGCTGCGGGCTTGCCCAGATGCCCGTGCAGATTGCTGTGCTTGCACTACCATCTGGCTCCTTCCTCCACTGGAGCATGCCCAGGGCATTAAAACCACGTTGGCTGCATAGGCGTGATTAGATATTGATTTATAGAGGTTCGTACAGCCAACTATTGGGCTATAAAGCCATTCGGGGGGATTAAAAAGCTGTTGCAGATACCAAATATTGAAGATATTGGGGCAGAAGTGGAGCAAAGCTGCTCCGCACACCACGGGTTGCAGCTGTACTCACGTGGTGGCATCGAAGGAGGAGTTGTCCACCCATTTCCATGTGTTGTTGGATACCTTTAATCCAATCCACACAATTAGCTTGTCCTTGCTGTCCTGCTGGATCCCCTCATTTAAGTGCTCCTGGGAAATGGGAGAGGAACGTTGGCTTCCAGGGGCCTTCAGCAAGAGGCTTGTTGGGGTGCAAAGCTGTCTTTTTGAACCCATTTGGTTCATCCTCAAAGAGATGGGCCCTAAACACCACCTGTGCCTTGGGTTCTGCCTCACTCAGTGGGAGGAAATTGCTTAAATTCAGAGCCTGAGACACCAGAGGCTCCCCCTGAGCTCCATGTCCCTCCTTCTTCCAATGCCAAAGGTGGGAAGGGGCCTCCAAAGCCCTTTTGGTGGTGATTCAGCCCTGTTACCTCCTTAGTATAAAGTGGCTTGGGGCTACCGAGCCTCCTACCACCAACCAGCAGCTCCAGGGCAATTTTTGCCTCTCTGCCCACCAAAACCCAGGACTTTTGGGTCCTTTTCTAGCCTTCTCCACTCTTCACTTACCATATCGGTGGTGTTTCGGAACACGGCCAGATGGGAACCCCGACTGTCGCAGTCTTTTTTGCCTTCCGTCCAATTCCCAGTTGATTTGGAAACCTGGTAGCACTGGTCCCCAAAAAGCTGCCAAGACTGGGGGCACAGCTTGCAGCCCCCGTGGCCTGGAGAGGAGACGGAGCTGTGAGACACCCCTAAAAGTTCTTGAGGTCTCACTTAAACCAGCCAAGAGGCACCGGGGAGAGAGCTCCCTCCCCTCCCAAATTTTTCCTGCCCGCTTTTCCCACCCATCCACCACAAAGAGGACCTGGTGGAGTGAGCACGGTGAAGGTGGAGAGGTGCCTCCTCCTCCCGGAGGCCCACAGAGGATGGAGATGATCAGCAAAACGAGCTCTTCCTCACCATGCTCATTGACACCGAGCTGGGCTCACAGCCCCCTGGGGACACCCATCCCACCCCAGGGACTCCCCCGGGGAAGGGGTTACCTGCGGAGCCGTTCCAGCGGCAGACGTAGCGCAGCAGGGAGGTAATCATGCACACCTCTGTCCTGCTCCTTCCCCCAGCCTCGCTCTTGTTCTGCAGAGCGTTGGGAGGAGTCGGCGTCTTCTGAAAAACTTGGAGGCAAAATTTTGGGGTGAGACTGAGGCTGTTTGAGGGCAATGTCGTGAAAACCGAGCAGGGCTGAGTTGGGTTCTCCAGGCTATTTTTCAAGCTCCCTTTCTGGTCATGACTATACCCAACTTTTGCAACAGCATAAAAATGTTTCTTGTGTCCTCCACTCTTGCTTTAAAAGCATTTTTTTTGTGTGTTTTTGTGTTTCTTTGTTTGTTTTGAGAGGGGATTTACTCTTGTTGGATGCATCTTGTGGGGCAAAATTGTCCCCATCCAAATGGAGATGGTCACTAGGATAAAACCCTGAACACCCCTTGGCGAAAAAGAAATAAAATAAAAAAGTCCCTCATGGTCGCTAGGGTTTTGGACATGTTTACGAGTGTTTTTTACTCACCCTGTACACTGAGCATCACCAGCAGCACCAGCAGCACCACGTGGCTCAGCACACTCAGTTTCAGAAGGACTCCGTGCCACCGTGGGCATGTGGTAGGAGCTGAAAGAGTCCGTGGTTTTATTCAGAAAGCACTTTCTTGTAAATTAAAATTTAAATACAACGGAAAGAAATAAATTGATATAAAATAAAATCAAATAAATAAATAATAATTAATAAATACAATATAAAAATATTTTTTAGAGCCCCTCTCTTTGAGCAGATCTTGACAGACGCTTTGCTACCTGCACATAAACCAAAAAAAAAAGAAAAAAAAAAAAAAAAAACCAAAAACAAGTGAAAACCCAATGATCACAACCTTCTTTCTCTCTCTTTTCTCACACTTCATCCATCTCCAACCCTCATGGAACTATGGAAGCACCTCTCTGGTATTTCCTCTGCTTGCCCATTTTCCCAGTTCTGTTGCAAAACCATTTATATTCCACGATACTGAACTTATCACAGACAAGCGTCCCCCCCAAGCCCCCTCTCAGTTTCCCCATCTCAAGCGACTCTCTGGGACCCCAAGAGCTGCTCCACCCCGCTTCTTCCCCCTGCCATGCAATCGCCACCCAAGGTATCCTCTCGCCACCACAAACCTGTGCTGGGGACGGAGGACCGGACCCCGCTACCTGCGTCCCGGAGGGGTCCCGGCCTCCCCTCAGCACCCCGCTTGCATCGCCTGTCCAAGGCCATGTAGCCATCCTCATTCTCCATGGCAGGAGGACACAAGGACACGCAGCAGGTGGAGGGGACACGATGGAGTCCGGAGGACAGGAAACCAAAATGCTCAGAGCTGCAACGCTGAAGTGCAAACCAGTGGCGGGGCTGGAACTTCCTGCCACAGCTCACGGCCATTCAATGCCCCTGAAAGTTTTTGGGGTCACCAACACCCTTGCCTAGTGCCCGGGTGAGAGGCACAAGATCCTCCTGTCTCCCCCAGGCTCACAGCCCACCCCATAAATTACATCCCTAATGAGAAGATAGGGGCAGACTTGGGTCTTAATGCTGTCTCATGGCCAAAAAAAGGGCTTTTTTCTTTTAGTGTTTTACCCCATTCTGGTGTGGGCCCAGCTAAATTCCTTTGATGTGCACCAGGCACTGCTTCTTTGTGATTCCAGTAAGAAAGGCAGATGTCCTTGAAAGCAGATAAGAAAGTTGGTTGTTTTTTGTTTGTTAGTTTTTTAATAACTCCAGCATTTAATTCTGTCATCACTGCACTGCCAGGCACTGGCAGAAACCTTTGCTCAGCCCCTGCCTGTGCACAGCTTTCCGGCTGTGTTCTTCCAGGATTTTCTTTGAAAAAAAGTAAAAAAATAAAAAAAAAGTAAAAAAAAAAAAGAAAACAGAGAACAGTTGTTTCTTCTGTTGTTTCTTTTTACTGTTGCTACAGCAAGCTGGAGCTGATTGGCTTTTCACACCATGAGAAACCACCTTGATCAACTAGGAGTTGTCCTTGCCCTGTCTCCCCCTTGCCCTCTCCAACCTCAAAAGGGAAAAAAAAAAAAAAAAAAGAAAAAAAAGAAAGCTAATTCTGTTTTGAGGGGAAAAAAGACTATTTGGATATGCACCCTAAAGAATATGCATCCTAAAGGATCTGCATCCTGCAGCCAACCAGTCCTCAAAAAGCCTCAAAAACATGAGTTCTGCCTCAAGAAGAGCGAAGTTGAAGCCACATTTCTGCACCCCTCTCTTTGCAGGGAAGATTCATCAGCCCAGCTGAGAAAAAAATGCAGCATCCGGAGCTTTTGCCATTCTTCCTCCCCTGCCTCTGCCCCCGCTCCTGAGGGGTGTTAAAAATCGTCCCGTGAACGGGGTTTCTTCAACAAAAGTAATGGAGATTTGCTCCTCTTCCTCTTTTAGCACCAGGATAACATCATTAAGAGAACTCCAAACAGCAAGCTTTAGAGTGATTTGAGTTTCTTTCTTTCTTTCTTTCTTTCTTTCTTTCTTTCTTTCTTTCTTTCGTTCTTTCGTTCTTTCGTTCTTTCGTTCTTTCGTTCTTTCGTTCTTTCGTTCTTTCGTTCTTTCGTTCTTTTTCTTTTTCTCTCTCTCTCTCTCTTTCTCTCTCTCTCTCTCTTTCTCTCTTTCATTTTCATACATAATATGAGTGTGTTCATCTGTGCAGTCATGGCAGGGATTCGTTAAAGTGAACAGCTGACACACGGGACCATATGATCCGTGCTGCTGTGCTTCCCCCCGACTCATTAAATCTCTGTGCAATCAAGAAGACAAAACACACCAGGACTCAAAATACTGCTCTTAGGGTAAATCCACATCTGAGCAGCAAAACTGGGGGCTGGCTGAGCAAGCAATGCTCAGCTAGGGACTGAAATTGGGAGGGAAGGGGCGGGCAGCCAGCCACGGCAGGTTTCCCAAATTTTTCTTTCATTTTTTTAAAGATTTCAGTAGTAGTACTATTGCCATTATTATTATTCTTTTCCTTTCTTTTCTGTCCTAATAAACCATGTCTATCTCAATCCACAGGCTTCATTTTTTCTGATGCTCTCCCCCATCCCAGAGAGGGGGGGAAAGGGTGTGACCGAACCCAGCGTGGTGCTGTGAGTTGCGGAAAACGGACTCCACAAGCAGTGAGATTGTAAAGTAGGTATGTTTATTTAGTGCTGGGCAGAACGGGGCTCGTCCCACCAAAGTCTTTCGCAACTGACACGGCAACTTGCCACGGTTATAAGCAGTAAGGAGCTATATATGCATGACGTTTCACAATGAGCCTATACATATGCATGACCTGTTCCTGCTTCATATTAAAATTAGTTCAAGAAGTCATTTCGATATGCTCCCCGAATCTGCGCTTGCACAGTGTCTCCTAGTGGTGGTTGCTGTGGGTCGTAGGGATGAAGGTTGGTGACTCTTCCTTGTCACCATCTTTCAGCTACCGCCATCGCAGGCCTTTTCTGTTTTGCCCCCTGGTGACCTGAACATGCCTTTTGATCCAGGCCCTATTGGCCTTGAAAAGGAGCTGGGAACGTTTCCCTTCGATCCGGGAAGATTAGGATACTTAAGGCCCGAAGGCTGAGTTGCTGAACTTAAAGCAAGATATATTGTTCACACGACTAGCCCTGGAATTCTCTGCCATTTGTAATCAAGAAAAGGAATGGAAAATGGAGACTGTTATATTATCTGAGAGAATTTAATGAAGTCATAGAAGATACGGGAGCACTTCAACCAGGATTACCAACTCCAACTATGCTTCCCCAGTCATGCACATTAATAGTAATAAACTTAAAGGATTGTTTGTAAAAGACTTGCCAGAATTTGGAAAACTTTGCCATTGGTATAAATGAAGTCTCAACTCAATCTGAATTTAGTAATATTTATAAAAGGCAAGAAAAGAGCGATGGGTGCATGCGGAGTCTATGCTCTACCAACATGTACACAAGAACATCAAACTTTCTAGATATACAGAACATTGCTTTTACATACCAAACCCGAGTACGGCTATACATATGTACAATCAGAAAAGGTAACAAACAATCCTTTAAGTCTATTACTATCAACGCCCATGCTATTACTATCGATGTCCATGACTGGGGGAGCATAGTTGGAGGAGAGCCCTGAGCTGCCCCCCTGCAGCATCCTCCTGCATCCTGGAGTCGCCTCCGAATTTACGCCGTGAAGATGACGAAGAGAAAGCTGCTATCATTAAACCCCCTTGTGTAGGGATCCTGACGGTGCCTTATTTAAAGAAATGTCTTAATTTATTTTAACTTCAGCTTGCAGAAGTAGAAACTCCTCGAAACAACAGCGTGGAGCTCTGGGATCAAAGGATCCTTCAGCCACTCGTGTCTTCCGGCAGTTGCAGAGAGACTTGGGAATATCCAAAAGGTTTGGAAAAAACATTTGTCCAGCACTCTGAAGCTTGAGGGCTTGATGCCCTTTTTTACGGGATTCAGAGGTAGGAGGAGAAAGGGAAAGCAGAGGAACGAAGCAGAGCTGGGAGAAGCCACCAGCCTCGAAGCTCTGGAGCTGCTTTTTGGCATCCTGGTGCCGTGTCCCATCCCGTTTGTGCCTTGTCGTGGCTCCCTCAGTTGAAGCTGTGCTTAAATCTTGGTGGCCTCTTTCTGGCAAATCCAATGCAACGGCATGCTGCACAAGTGGGAGCGGAGCTGCCCCTTCGATATCGCCGCACAGGCATTCACCCTCCTTTCCCCCACCACCTGCAGCCTGGGGAGCACCGTAAGCAAGATTTTAGTCAGCACAACAGGAAGCGCTTGGATGCTGCTTCCAGCAGAAACATTTCATCTCTTCAGATGTTTCCCCTCCCCCCAAAAAAACACCTTAAAACGAGTTAGTCATTCAGCTTGGAGCGTACCACCCCATTTGCCTCCTGTTTCTGCAAAGAAAGCAATTTTCCAGCTTCTGCCCCACAAAAAAAAAACCAGTCGTTTCTCCTTCCCCATACACCCTCTGCTTTGTTAATAAATATTTATCTCTCCCAAAAGCTCTATTTTTTTTTTTTGGATATCGGAGTCACTGTGGCTACAGCAGGACCCTAGCTGCAAAATATCCCGGATTGTGGCATCTCCTTTTTAATCAGTTGAAATTTCCCTGCCTGAAATTGCAGCGAAAATACGTAGGAAAAATGCTTTAACAACTTCCTCTCCTTGCCAAGCAGCTGGGGGCTGTGGGCCCACATTGCCCAAATTTCATTTGCTCCCCACCAGCTCAGGAAGGATTTTGGGGGGAGTTTGTTGTCAAGGAAGCGGGTGAGCAACCGAAATTTCTCCGGGATGGGGTTTTTGCACGGGGCTTAGGAACAACTCACAAATCATCCTGCAAAGGGGATCCATCCATCCACGTCCACTCCTCGCCCTGAGTCGGGATGGTGCTGAGCCCCGTCCAGCTCCCTGGTATTTCTTTGCTCATGGCCCCAGTGAAGTCCTAGGGGAGGAGGAAGCAGACCCCATCTCCCTGTTTTTCCCCACCTTTCTCTTCCTTTTCCCCCCTTCTCCCCCGTTTTCTCCTCCTCCCCATTTCCCCCCCCCCATCCTTTTTCCCCACTCTCCCTCTTTTTCCCACCTTATCCCTCTTTCCCCCTTATCTCCTTTTCTCTCCCTTTTCTTCCCCCCTTCTCTCCCTTTTCTTCCCCCTCCCTATTTTTCCCCCCTCTTCACCACCTTTTTTCCCCCTTCTCGAATTTTTACCCGCCTCCATCCCTCTTTTCTCCCCCTTCTATTATTATTGTATTATTTTATTATTATTATTTCCCCCCTCTTTATTATTATTTATTTTTCCCCGACATCCAATTGTCTCTGCAATTTGGGCAGGCAGCATCAGCTACAAAAAAAATCCGTTTGCGGGTTTGATGCTTTCTCTTTGGTCCTTTACCTTCTCCTCCATGCTCTTCAGCACCACCAGCTCTGCCCTCCTGTCCTTGCAGTCACCTCCTGCCTCTTCCCAGGGCAGGGTTTTTGCAGAAACCCAGTAGCATTTGGTGGCGAAGGGCTGCCAGCCCGCAGGGCAGAGCCAGCAGCCCTCGGCACCTGGGCAGGGGTTGGGGACATGAGCTGGGTAAGGGGCGAAGCTGGGAGACCCCTCCCCAGGACCCTCCCAAGCTTTTCTCAACCCCCTGTTTTGTTTTGTTTTTTAGGAGAAAAATCTTTATGAGAACTGGGGGGAAAGCTGGGGTTGCAGGATAGGAGCAGAGGTTGAAGGTACAAAGAGGGGTGCATGGAGAGGGGAAGGATAAAGGTGACAACATGGAGGGAAAGCAGCAGGATGGGGAGTCCAGGGGGGCTTTCCCTCGCTGTCAGGCCCCGTTTTCTGCGTGGAGGGGCCCAAAGCAAGCCAACACCCCCGTAACAGCATGGGCTACCTGGTGCCTGGTGGCTCTTGGCCTCGCACAGCCGCTCTCTGAGCCCCAGCTGGAAGTAGTTCAGGGAGCAGTTGGAGCTGGGGGTGTCCTTGCCCAGGCAGGATTCCCAGGAGCATGAGCCAGTGGGATTGAGGCTGTTTCCATCTGAAATTGGGGGGCGGGATGGGTTTGACCCCAGGATGCAAGCAGTGGGGTGAAACCCTTGTGCGGAGCCACCCTCGGCATGGGATGGAGCAAGGTGCTGCCAGAGGGAGCAGGGATTTGTGGCAGCACAGGCATCAAAACCACAAAACAAACAAACAATAAAAACAGCCTGGTGTGTCCAGGAGATGTTCTCCAAATATAGGCGAAATACGGAGCTGCCATGGCTTTTGTGGGGGGGGATTTGATTTGTTTTCCCCCCACCCTGACACCCCACCACTCACCGTGTTGCTGCAGTAGCCTCAGCACGATGTTTGCCAAGAAGGTGGCCCCAAGCAATCCAGCTCCCAGTATCACCCAGTACCACCAGCGTCCTGCAACGGGACACATGCTGGGAACGAAAACCACATCATCACCGTCCCTGCCCTGTTTTATCACCTTTCGATTTGGTGTCCACGTCATGGACGTGTCTGTCCCCCCTCCCCCCCCCCCCCGCATCCTGTAAGGTGGCTTGGAGGGGAGCTGAGAAGCAAAAAACCACCCACGCTTGCCTCCCTCGCTTGGCCGAGGCGATGAACAGCAGCTCAGCTCCTTGCACCCCATGCTGCACCTGGGAGGGGGCTTGGGAGGGTCCTGGCTCAAGGGAAGGGCCCAAAACGAAGCCTTGGGGTGCTCAAAGCCACAATTGCTGCTCGCTTGCAGAAGCCCTCGAGCGAGGTGAGAAAGGGGAGCGTGCAAAAGCTCTGCAGGTAGCGGTGTCCTCGGGGAAATTCTCCTTGCAGCACATTTCAGAGAGATTTGGGGAAAGAAATCTGCTCGTGCAGCTGCTCTGCCCCGTAGCGGAGGTGGACAGCAAACATCCTCGAGGAAAATGAGGATTTGGGCCAGAAAAAAAAAAATTCTCACTGTGTTTCCCCCCCTGCTAGGGCCCAGCAGCTCCGGGGTGGCATCGGGGACAGCACCAGCACCATTTGTAGGGTGTCCAGCCCACCTCCCCCAAAAGATATAGGGCCAAAGCCCAGAGGGACCCCAGCACCCATGGGTACGAAGCAAATCCACTCACTGGGAGGCTTTGAGAGCTGTGGGATGCCTCTGGGACCCGGTGGCAATTCCAGGTCGGTGTAAACCGTTGTCAGCGCCATCGCCAGCAGTCCCCAGGGAGCAGCAGAGCCAGGTGCAGGGGCAGAAAAAGAAAATTATTATTATTTTATATATATATATATTTTTTTTTTTCCTGGAGGTAAAGCTGGGTGAAGCGACGTTGGGTGTCTGAGCCTCGCCTGCTGCCCTCTGCTCCCCAACATGCTGAGGCCGCCCACAAAAAGCGGTTTCCGAAAGTGAAGCAGCCTCTGAGAGGTGCAAAGGGAAGGACATTTTATTTAATTAGCATTAAACTTAAAAATATATATATAGCAAAAAGAAATATCAAAATATAAAAGCATTAAAAAAGCAATAGCAACCCCTTCTTCTCCAGGAGAGCGGGGTCAGGGCAGGGCTTTCATCTCATTTATTATCGTGTTTGTATTGCAATTATCTTCTTGCACAGAGGTTTGTGCACCTTGGCACCAAGCTGGGGAGGGGAGCATAACGCCCTTTTCCATGCAATTATCCCCAAAATTCCACTTAATAATCAGTACCTCTCCCTTTCCCACCTTTGGAGGTGAGGGTAAAACCTTGGAGGGGGGAAGAAGAAGTAGAAGCCACCAGCGCTCAGCCCCTTTGCCTCCAGCACCTCTGCAAGCCAGGGACAGGTATAAGGGATGGGGATTTTAGCAAAAATAAATAAAATGAAATAGATTTTAGGGTAGAATCTGCACGGCTGCTCCCTCTCTAACATTTTTTGAAAAAGTGCTGCAAAACTGTCCCCTTGACAGCAGCAGCAGGTGGTTTAGCACCTTTTCAGTACCTCATCCACGACAAGATTTAACAGATTAACACCTCGTTATGTTTTGTGTCTTCGTTTAATTTTTAAGCCACCAAACCCCAAACCTCCCTGTCTTCAGCCCTTCCTGCCTCTGGCCTTCTGAATTTTCTTGGTTTCTCTTGGATTCTGCACTTTCTCTTTTAAATAACCCCCAGGCAAATTTCTTTTCATGCAAAAGAAATTTGCAGCAGCAAGAAGTCCACCCCAGGATGAAATTTCCTTCCTATTTTTATTTTTCATTTTAATTTATGGGCCCCTTCCAACTAGGGATATTCTATGATTCTGTTTTTTAAGTCCTAGCATCCCTGTTTCCTCTGATTTATTTTTGCTCCTTTTCACCCCATAGCTTAGCATCTTCATTTATTTTATTTTAATTTATATTCTCAGAAATCACAGGCAAGCATGAGGAGATGCTTCACCCCAAACATCACCCCCATTTTCCATAAATTTCTCTACCAAATATCTTTGGGAATACAGGCATAGAAGAGCCACCTCATTAAGAAGGTTGGATGTAATGATTTCGTCAACGAACCTTGCTGGATTTATCAACTAAATTCAGGTTTGAGATATCTGAGCTCACATCGCAGCCTCTATACCCCAACTATTGCTCCAGAGCAAAGAGTAGAAGGGTTGCAGCGCAAAGCGGTGGAAACGTCTCCTCTGTTTGGGGTGGAGAGGACAAAATTTCGTGGAATTAATGACTGAGAGAAGGTTTTTGTGGAGAAGGGGTTGCACAAGCCTCTGTGGTTGGTGGTGGTGAACCAGCTGAAGAAATGCTCCAGGGAAAGAAATGGGTGAAATACCTGAAACTTTCCCAATATTTCCTGCAGCCCCTCCCAAAATCTAAAACACCTTCACACACCAAACAATGCCAATGAGGTGACGGCTCCCATCATCGCGGCACGGATCCCCCAGACCCTTCTTGTCCCCTCTTATGGTTGGGGAAAACAACTGAAGCCCTGAGGTTTCCTCCTGCAGCAGCAGCGCTCTGCTCTCCCTCCTGCTCTGTGAGGTACTGGAGGATGTGGCTTTGCTCTGCAGGTTGGTTTTTGGTCAAATAAAGCAGACGAGAAATCATCATTCTCTACCAGACAGCCCCAAACGGGGATCCCAGGGCACAGCAGAAAGGATGCGTCCATCCCATTGTCCTTTGCCTACATTTTGTGTCTGTACAAATTCATGTTGGGGATTTTTAGGCATCCTTTCAACACCCAAAATTTCGGTTCAAATGATTTTGCATCCACTGTTTTTTGTTTTGTTTTGTTTTGTTTTGTTTGTTTTGTTTTGTTGTTGTTTTGTTTTGTTTGTTTTTGTAAATAGGTTCCTCTTCCAAACTCCATCCTTCACCCAAAACCCAGAGCTTGGTCCATCCCAGTAGCCCGTCCCATCTTTCCTGCTTCACCCCGTCTCTTTTGGGGCTGGAGCTGCCCAAAACTAACCTATAAACCCCCTTTTTATTCGACCACCTCAAACACAACCTTTCCCAACCCAAAACACATTATTATCACCTTATTTTCTCCGGTAGAGGGAGCAACACACAATGACTACTCCTGCTCTGGATCACAGAGGCTTCCCCCCAGCTGAGCCACAGCTCCCTCCAGGCATGGGTCCCAGTTCTGGAAAACTTCAAAAATGAGCAGATTAAAATTGAGCTTTGGGTTTGCAAAGGGCAGGGAGTAGGGGAATTGAGCCGGGCAAAATTCATTTACACTTGCAGGGAGCAAAAAAAATGATATATAAAGCTGCCACCCAGCACGTTCAAAAACCCTTTTTCTCCATAAAAGGGATGTTTTCACCAGTCTGTGGCCAACCTGAAAGTGTTCTTTCAAACTGAAGTGTGAAGAGACGCTGCTCTAGCTTTAAAGATAAAATTGGAAAAAAAAATAAAATTGAAAGTAAAATAAAATAAAATTTTATTTTTAGGTCACTCGTCCTCAGTATCTTCAGTAGCAAGGGGGAGTGGTTAGAACAGGGGAAGTTGTTACAAGAGAAGCAAAAAAGGTTTCTCAGCACACTAATCACTGATCCGGACCTTTGGTAATGGTAAATAACTCACAGAGCATTGGAGGTATCAGGAAGAAGAGAGATTAGGAACAACATGGTGCACAGTGACTCATTGGGGCATAAAAATGGAGTTTTGGTGTATCAAGGAAACCACATCACGCTGGCACAGGCAGAACTCTCCCTGGATGCTCTGAACTATCACGGCTGAGACTGGGAGGAGGCTCGGCGACAGCAGCACAGCCGCCTTTAACCACAGGGGTGCTGGGACATGCCTGGGGAAAAAAATAATAATACCTAAAACCAGTGTGTTCCCCTGCCCGAGAAACAAACATGGTTGTGCTCACACTGCCCCAGGAGAGAGCTTTCCGAAGGGCAAAAATGCAGTGAGAAGAGGGGGAAAACACCAAAACGTATCCCAAAAGGTTGACAGTGCCAAAGTGCCCCTCGATGCTGGAAATTGTGGGGAAGGCTGAGCCATATCCTCTACACAACTACCATAGTGAGATTATACATATCTTCTTTAAAAGAAGGTATTAGAAGAAAATATTCTATTAACATATCTTCTTTGAAACTATCTGAAAGGAACCTGTGGTGAGCTGGGGGTCAGCCTCTTATCACAGATAATCAACGATAGGACTAGAGGAAATGGCCTCAAGTTGTGCCAGAGGAGGTTCTGGTTGGAAATTAGGAGACACTTCTCAGAAAGAGAGGTTAGGCACTGGGACGGGTTGCCCAGGGAGGTGGTGGAGTCACCGTCCCTGGGGGTGTTAAGGGAAAGGTTGGACGTGGTGCTTGGGGACATGGTTTAGTGGGTGACATTGGTTGGAGGGGGATGGGTGGGCAGAGCTGCTTGCTCCGCCTCCTTCGCTCACAGTAGTTTCCCCGAAATCATGTGGTCTTACGGCTCATATCCAGGGGGAGGGGGAATCACAGTTAAGTGCAGCATTATGTCTCCTGGGCACCTAATCTCCTCCCACTGGGCACCTAATCTTCTCCTACTGGGCACCTAATCTCTTCCCACTGGGCGCCTCATCTCCTCCCACTGCTGTTTTGCAATAAAAAGAACAGAGGGTTGTGTCAGGAGAACTTTTTAACGTATGTTGAAGTTGCAGCCACTGAGGTTTTTCAGTTCTGAAGCCTTACTATTTAAGACAGGATTTGTTTAATATCTTCAGGTATTCCTACTGCAAGTGCTCTTCCGTAGGATCACAGGCTGAGTGATACCACTCCCTCACTGCTACATGATACTGCTGCATGAACAGCACTATTCCTTCTCTCATTCCTTAAATTGGAGCACCAGCAAGAAGACACCAGGAGTAGACACACTGCTCTTAGGGTAAGTCCACGTTGGAGCAGCAAAATTTGGGGCCGGCTGAGCAAGCAACGCTCAGCTAGGGACTGAAATGGGGAGGGAAGGAGCAGCCAGCCAGGGCAGGTTTCCATCTTTTTCCTTTTTCCTCTCTCCCCTCGCTTTGCTCTCTCCCCCCCCCCCCCCCCCGCCGCCCCCCCCCCCCCCGCCGCCCCCCCGCGTTCGCTGTGGGCCCTCTCCCCGCCCCCCCGCGTTCGCTGTGGGCCCTCTCCCCGCCCCCCCGCGTTCGCTGTGGGCCCTCTCCCCTTCTTTTTTTCAAGATTTTTTTTTATTAATTTTCACGCTCCCTCCACCTCCTTCTGCTCCCTTGCCTTGGTTCTGCTTTTCCCCGAGATTTGTGGTTTTCTTGATCAGTACCGTGGAGATTGATCTCTTTGATGCCTGAATGGTTTCACACTTCCACACTGCCCCACACCACTCATGTGTTTCTGTGATTAGAGCCAAAAAAAACAAACCACATTGCCCAAATTCTTCCTTTTCATTTGGCTTTATTGAAGCTTCTATGACCACATAGGGCGTGTAAATCTTCTTACAAATGTTTAGAACTCCTAACGTGTTTGTTTGTTTGTTTGTTTTAAGATATTTTAAAACATTTCACGCTTTTTTTTTCTCCTGTTTATTTCTTTGGGAGGGCTTTCCCAGTCTTTCTTCTAATCTTCTAGCTAAGGCAGCTGGCTGCTTTTTTTTTTTTTTTTCTCCTGGGAGGGAATTAAAGAAGAATAAAGTTGAAAAGAAGCAAAAAATAGTATTAATCGGTAGAATTAATAATCTGTGTGGAGCTGCAGCAAAAAAGCAGACAAGGGAGGGAAGAGGGATGACACCTGGGTACAAGCTAGTAGCATCGCTAGTTGGTCGAGGGAAGTGATTGTCCCAATCTACTCTGTGCTGGTGCAGCTTCACCTCGAGTACTGTGTGCAGTTCTCATCGCAGTCTACAACTTCCTCATGAGGGGAAGTGGAGAGGCAGGTGACCTGTTCTCCGTAATCACCAGTGATAGGACCCGCGGGAATGGCGTTATGCTGAGGCAGGGGAAGTTCAGGCTGGACATCACAAAGAGGTTCTCCACCGAGAGGGTGGTTGCAGACTGGAGCAGGCTCCCCAGTGTGCAAGCCAAATCTGAAGCCAAGCCAGGCTTTGTCATACGGAGTCTGGGGTACCTGCAGCCCACTCGTATTACCACTATTTATCCCCCCCTGCCAAATTCAATCCTAAAACTTCTTTGAAAACACTATTTCGCAGTATGTCCCCCAGCACTGAATGTTCCTTCTGCAAGTTTTTCCTGCGTGCTGCTGTATTCCCTCAAAACCAAAACGTTTTTTCCTCCTTAGGAGCTTATTCCTAGATGTTTGGTTTTCCAGTAATCCCCTCATCCAGGTGGGCAAAGCCCTTCCTTGGTGATTATTTTCCAACAATAGTACCAAGATCTGTGGCACAAGAGCTGCTCTGTTTGAACAGCAGCCAGCATGCTGTTCTATACTCAGAAAATATTGCAGGGGGAACTGAGATAAGGGCTGGCTGTGAACCAAGAATGTCAGCACAAGCAGCTGCTGGCTTATTTCCTTGCTTTTTTTCAAGTTCAGCTTCTTGCTGGGCAGGAGACTGTTTGGGGAGGGTGTCATGTCACACATCTCAACTCCCTTTGAGCTTTGAGTGCTGATAGGCAATACATTTCTTTTAATTTCTTTTAGTATTTCATGTCAATATAAACTTCTTTCTCTTTTCTCTTTCTCCTTTTCTTTCTCTTTTTTACTTCTTTCTTTCTTCTTCTTTCTTCATCTTTTTTTTTTCTTCTTCTCCTTCTCTTTTTCTCCCATCCTTCCACTCTTACTCCATTCCCCTCCAACAGACCACAAGCCCTCTCCCCAACCACGGTTTCCCCATGTCCCCACCAGATCCCTACAAGTCCTCAGACCTGGGGGGCTTTGCTGCCCCCCAGCACTCAACCCTCTCCTTGCTATTGCATCATGCTCCAGCAGTTGCTGCCAGAGAACAAGATGGATGGATGTGATCATTGAGACCTGATACTTCCTTGACTGCCATGGAGAAAGAAGTCTGGGAATATACTCACCGCAAGAAAAAAGTGCTGAAGCCTCCAAGAGATGGAAAAAATCAATATAAATGGGGTAATGCTGTGGGAAAGCGAGATCTGGCTTTGGTGGGGCACTGGTGGGAGGGCACCGGCCATGGTTTTTAGGTGGGTGAGGAAAGGCTCTGAATTTTACTGTGTAGCCATCTCTAAATCCATCTGGAGGACTTCAAAGAAGGGAGCTCCTATCCCAAGGGGGAGGGCTATAGGATCAACCGTGGATCCAGCAGAAAAAGGGCAAATGGGGGGTGGAAAGACCCAGCCCACATCTCCTGCTCTCTTCTCCACCAGGCTCCAGCCCCCGTGGGATGGGAAGGAAATGTCGTCATGTACAAAAGCTCCTGGCTCCGCTGTGTGTGGTGCTGATTGTCCTTGTCCTCGTTCTGCTGGTGGCCTTGGTTGGTGAGTCCCAACGGAGCATCCCCATGTCAGGGAGATTGGCCAGGAACCTGTTTCAGGGATGGTGTGGGGAATTCCAGGGTTTTCCCAGCAGGATGAGAAGCCCCCCAAGCATAGCACTGAATCTGCTTCATGGAGCACCCACTTTTGTCCCCACAACCAGGCTCTACTCAGCCTTTCCTACGGGGTGCCCCATCTTGGCGCATCCCAACCCCCCTACATTTGCTGGAGTGTAATACATATAATTAAAAAAATGTTATTTTTCTGCCTTTTATTTATTTTTTTTGTGGCTATCCATGCATCTCACCTGCTCGGTTTTCTCCTTTTACAGCTGTGCAGCTGCAGTCTTGCTCATCATATCCCCAGTTCTCCCACATGTGCCCAGACACGTGGATCGGCTTCCAAAGCAAGTGCTACTATTTCTCAGAAAATAGAAATGACTGGAACACCAGCTTGGAGAACTGCAAGGCCTTGGAAGCCTCCCTGACCTCCATAGACAGCCTGGAGGAACTGGTGAGAACTGGGCACGAGCCCCAACACAGGCTCTGGTGTGGAAAATGTGTGGGACTAGAACAAAATCCAATTTCCCCTCCAAATTTCACCCACTGCCAAAGCCAGGAAAAGATGCCCTGGGGAAAGCACCAGCCTGGGCTGGGGCATGAGCAATATCACATTATTTTCTCTAAAACTCCCTTGCTATGTCTAGATGGGTGCTGTCCTGAGCTTTGCCCTCAAGGGGCTTCCTTTTTCTGTGAAACTGTAGAACTGTAGAATGTAATCACCTTCCTATTGCAGGGTTCTCAGCAGGCTGGAAGCAGAACCTGGCTGAGTTGAGTTTTGGGAAGACGGGATCGCCTAAACCATTTTTTTTTTTTAAAGGCTTTCATCAAGCACTACACTGGCCAAAGAAACCACTGGTTGGGGCTGCACGAGGAAGGCGATGGCCAGTGGAGGTGGACCAACAGGACAGCCTTCAACAGTTGGTCAGTCCCTCCACCTGCTGGGGTTGGGTGCTTTGGGTTGGCAATTAGGGCAGGAGTTCTTATAGGGTCTAGGATGGCGTCTTTTGGGACGGGGACCTTCTCCTGCCACCACACCGCTGGTTTTCCACGGGAGGCTTGGTGCGGACCAAGGATGCTGCGCTCTGAACCCCTGTTAAACATTGAATGCTGCCCCTTGTGACCTTCCCAGGAGAGGAAATCCCAGGTTTTCTTCCAGTTTTTAGGGTAGTTTTCCTACTTACTTCCCTTTTACTCACTCCTGAGTGTGTCTGCATTGCAGGTTTGAGGTGTGGGGAGGTGGCCCTTGTGCGTACCTAAACCAGGAGAGGATCAGCTCAGCCTTCTGCCACACGGAGAAATACTGGATCTGCAGCAGGCCCAACAACTACGTCCTCTGGAGGCAAAAGATTTCCCCTGAGTAAAAGATCCTATAAACATACAGCTCATGACAGTGCCACAAAAATTTGTAAACACTTACGTAGGTCTGCATCTTTGCCACAACAGTATTGCTGAGTTTCCTTTCTGCTCAGATTCGTGCAGGCTCTGTCAATCTTTTGTACTGAAGTGAGCAACATTCCTGTTTCTCTCTCTGCTTCTACAGCAGAAAATAGTGTTTTATTTTTTTCTACATTTGCAAATGGCATGTTTGTAATAATGACTTTGAAAACTGTAAATCTGGTGTGCTATGGAATTATGCTATTGTACTTCACACTACCTATTGGAAGGAGGACAAGGAATGATTGGAACAGATGGACTTATGCTATTATGCTGTTATACTTCACTGTACATATTAGAAGGAGGAGAAGGAACAATTGGAACAGATAATGTCTGGATGTATCTGGATGGATTTTTTAATAAAAAATAAAAATTGGAAGCTAATTGAAACAGAGCCTACACTAATACTCTTGGCTGTGCTTGGTTGGGTTCAAACCCTGAAATTCCTCACAGAGCCGTAACGGAGGAGGGTTGGCTTCACCCCAAATATTAGCAGCGAGCGTCCTGCAGGATGGGCTTTTCAGGGTGGGCACCATACAGCTCTCTGTCTCCTGCAGTCTTTGAAAGGAGATGGAAGGGTTCTGTCTGGCAAACCCACTTGTGGTTGGTCCCACAGCCATCGTATTCCAGCAACTTCTCTACAAAGGTCACGCAGCCGTTCTCCACACTCCGAAGGGAACCGAACCTGCAAACCAAAACCGTCAGCAAACAAAAGCGGCTCCTTTTGCTCTTGGATTAGGGGGCAATGGGAGCTTCTCCCTCAGCCTGTCTCACTGGGCTCCAGGAGGCTTCTTGCTGCGGGCTTGCCCAGATGTGCGTGCAGATTGCTGTGCTTGCACTACCATCTGGCTCCTTCCTCCACTGGAGCACGCCCAGGGCATTAAAACCACGTTGGCTGCATAGGTGTGATGAGATGGTGGGTTACAGAATCACAGAATCACAGAATCTCTAGGTTGGAAGAGACCTCAAGATCATCGAGTCCAACCTCTAACCTAACACTAACAGTACCCACTAAACCATATCCCTAAGTTCTACATCTAAACGTCTTTTGAAGACTTCCAGGGATGGTGACTCCACCACCTCCCTGGGCAGCCCGTTCCAGTGCCTAACAACCCTTTCAGTAAAGAAATTCTTCCTAACATCTAACCTAAAACTCCCCTGGCGTAACTTTAGCCCATTCCCCCTCGTCCTGTCACCAGGCACATGGGAGAACAGGCCAACCCCCACCTCTCTACAGCCTCCTTTAATGTACTTATACAGAGCAATAAGGTCACCCCTGAGCCTCCTCTTCTCTAGGCTGAACAAGCCCAGCTCCTTCAGCCGCTCCTCATAGGACTTGCTCTCCAGGCCCCTCACCAGCTTCGTCGCCCTTCTTTGGACCCGCTCAAGCACCTCGATGTCCTTCTTGTAGCGAGGGGCCCAAAACTGAACACAGTACTCGAGGTGCGGCCTCACCAGAGCCGAGTACAGGGGGACGATCACCTCCCTAGCCCTGCTGGTCACACTGTTTCTGATACAAGCCAGGATGCTGTTGGCCTTCTTGGCCACCTGAGCACACTGCTGGCTCATATTCAGCCGACTGTCCACCATCACTCCCAGGTCCTTCTCTGCCTGGCAGCTCTCCAACCATTCCTCTCCCAGCCTGTAGCTCTGCTTGGGGTTATTGCGCCCCAGGTGCAGGACCCGGCACTTGGCCTTGTTGAACTTCATGCAGTTGACCTCAGCCCATCGGTGCAGCCTATCCAGATCCTCCTGCAGAGCCTTCCTACCCTCGAGCAGATCAACACACGCACCTAGCTTGGTGTCATCTGCAAACTTACTGAGGGTGCACTCAATGCCGTCATCCAGACCATTGATGAAGATGTTAAAGAGGACCGGCCCCAGCACCGAGCCCTGGGGGACGCCACTAGTGACCGGCCTCCAACTGGACTTGGCTCCATTTACCACAACTCTTTGGGCCCGGCTATCCAGCCAGTTTCTAACCCAACGAAGCGTGCGCCAGTCCAAGCCAAGAGCAGCCAGTTTCTTGAGGAGAATGCTGTGGGAGACGGTGTCAAAAGCCTTGCTGAAGTCAAGGTAGACCACATCCGCAGCCTTTCCCTCGTCCACCCAGCACGTCACTTTGTCGTAGAAGGAGATCAGGTTCGTCAAGCAGGACCTGCCTTCCATAAACCCATGCTGACTGGGCCTGATCGCCTGCTTGCCCTTCAAGTGCCGCATGATGACTCCCAAGAGGATCTGCTCCATGAGCTTCCCTGGTACTGAGGTCAAACTGACCGGCCTGTAGTTCCCCGGGTCTGCCCTCCGGCCCTTCTTGTAGATGGGCGTCACGTTTGCTAGCCGCCAGTCAGCTGGGACCTCCCCCGATAGCCAGGACTGCTGATAAATGATGGATAGGGGCTTGGCCAGCTCCTCTGCCAGTTCTCTCAGTACCCTTGGGTAATATGCATTATCTTGATGTTTAATTTCATTTTCTCATGCCAGCGTGGCCTAGCCTCTGCTGCATGGAGCAGCTGGCACTTCCTAGGACTGGGGAAAAAGCACCACCAGTCCTTTTTTGCTGTTTGTCGTTATTCTGCCTTCGGATCTCATTGACTTCATGGAAAGTTTTGTACTCCATTTTCTGTGGTGAGCAGAGGCAGGCCCGCTTTTACATTTCCTTCACGGTGACAATAAAAGGTGTCAAAAAAACACCCACACCACCACCACTAATAAAAATAAATAAATAAATAAATAAAAAGGCTGCACAAAGACTCTGCCTCCATCCTGACCATAGCTTTCAAAACTTTAAAAAAAAATAAAAAATTTCCAGATAACTTAATTGCAAGACATATATTTTGGATAGCCTGGTTACAAAATCTTCCTATTTGAAGAAGTTCCTCTCAGAGATGAAGAAAAACAATATACATGGGGTAATGCTGCAGGAAAGCAAGATCTGGCTCTGGTGGGGCATTGGTGGGATTGGCACTGGCCAGGGTTTTTGTGTGGGTGAGGACAGACTCTGAATTTTACCATGCAGCCACCTCTAAATCCATCTGGAGGTCCTCAAACAAGTGCAGGTGCCTTCAAAAGACACACATCAGCCCTGCATGCTCTCCCCATTCTCCCATGCTCCCCCAGAGCTACAAACCTTGCTGCAACTGATTTCTTAGCATTCTTCCTAAAGGACTCTCGGTAGGCATTGTCCCAGGGACATACCCCTGTCCCCTGGGACACTTATGTCCCATTTCTCCTATTCCCCTTAAGTGTGCTGGTACAGAAATTGACCTCCTATGGGGTAGTACACACCAACGTTATGGTTCTGTTAAATGTGTGTGTACTGCCCAGTACTTTGCCATGCAAGGGGGTACTGTACAGCAGAGGTCCCAAAAATGCTTCCTTTCTCTCTCTTTTCTCACACTTCATCCATCTCCAGCCCTCACGGAGCAATGGAACAACCTGTGGCATTTCCTGTCCTTGCCCATGTTCCCAGTTCTGCTGCAAAACCATTTTTGTTCCACAATACCGAGTTTATCAAAGGCAAGCGTCTCCCCCAAGCCCCCTCTCAGTTTCCCCAGCTTGAGTGACTCTATGGGACCCCAAGAGCTGCTCCTCCCTGCTTCTTCCCCCCGCCAAGCAATCGCCACCCGGGGTATCCTCTCGCCACCACAAACCCATGGTGGGGACGGAGGACGGGACCCCGCTACCTGCGTCCCGGAGGGGTCCCGGCCTCTCCGCAGCACCCCGCTTGCATCGCCTGTCCAAGGCCATGTAGCCATCCTCATCCTCCATGGCAGGAGGACACACAGCAGGTGGAGGGGACACGATGGGGTCCGGAGGACAGGAAACCAAAATGCTCAGAGCTGCACCGGTGAAGTGCGAACCAGCGGCAGGGCCAGAGCTTCCTGCCTCAGCTCACAGCTGTTCAATGCCCCTGTTATATATGGAGTTGTTATATATGGAGTGGTAATTCATGTTGAGACAATGGTTGATATTAATAAAGAAGGGGGAGATTTGGGAGTGTGGCCATGGGGGTTGGAAAGCCCCGTGGTTGATGGTAACATCAGACTCTAAAAGATGTGGCCATCAGAAATATAAAAGAGTTTAGAGGGAACAAAGAAGGGTGATTCAGGAGACTCCATGCAGTCTCTGGTTTCTTGTTCTCCAGCCCTTAAGGCATGGAAGTTTTTGGGTGTTTGCTATTGCTGTTTTATGCAAAGTTGTTTGACCAATGAAAAGTTGTTTTGAAAAGAACTGCTGTGAAGAGAAGGGTGTAAGAGGGGAGACTGCCCTCAAGATAAAAAAGGGCAACACGATGAAGTTACGTCATCAGTAAAGAAGCAGGAAAAAGGAGTGAAAAGGAACAGGCTGGCAGAATAGAGACCAGGATGGGAACAGGCACTTTGATCACCTCATGAAGATGGGTTCGGCCAAACTCAGCAAACTGCTCAGAGAAGCTCGTACAGAAAGTCACTGGAAACGGGCGCACCGGAACTGGGAAGAAGCTCAAGCTGAGAGAAGCGGACCCGTGCACACAGCTGGTGCCCAGGTGAGGGGCACAAGATCCTCCTGCCTCCTCCAGGCTCACGGCCCACCCTTTTGTATCTTTTATTGTTTTACCTCATCCTTGTGTGGGCCCAGACATATCACCTTGATGTGCACAAGGCACTGCTTCATTACCCCATTTATATTGATTTTCTTCATCTCTTGAAGGGTTCAGCACTTCTTCTTGCTCGGGGTGTGTATTTTCCCAGACTTCTTTCTCCATGGTCATCAAGGAAGTATCAGGTCTCAATGATCACATCCACCTGTCTTGTTCTCTGGCAGCAACTGCTGGAGCATGATGCAATAGCAAGAAGAGGGTTGAGTGTTGGGGGGGCAGCAAAGCCCCCTGGGTCTGAGGACTTGTGGGGATCTGGAGGGGACATGGGGAAACCGTGGCTGGGGAGAGGGCTTGTGGTCTGCTGGAGAGGAATGGAGGAAGGGTGAAAGGATGGGAGAAAGGGAGAAGGAGAAAGAAGAGGAAAAAAAAGATTAAGAAAGAAAGAGAAGTACAAAAGAGAACAAAAAGGAGAAAGTGAAAGAGAAAAGAGAAGGACAGAAGTTTAAACTAACTTTAAATGCTAAAAGAAATTAAAAGAAATGTACTGCCTATCAGCACTCACAGCTCAAATGGAGTTGAGCTGTCTGTGACAGGACATTCTCCCAAAACTGTCTCCAGCACAGCAAGGAAACAGGAGGCTGAATTTGAAACACAAGCAGAGAAGGCGATAGGGCAGCAGCTAGCCTTGCTTACATTCTTGTTTTGCAGCCATCTCTTATCTCGGTTCTCCATTTCAGTATTTCCTGAGTGTAGAACAGCATGCTGGCTGCTGTTCAAACAAAGCAGCTTGTCCAACAGATCTTGGCACTGTCGTTGG